CAATAAAAACTGAGAAACTATATTTATTGTTAGAAAGAATTCTAAACCTCAAAGTTCGTCTTACTTGTATTTTAATCTCTTTCAGACAGCATGTATCCATGTAAGAATGAAGTTCAAGAACCCTGACCTTCAAGAAGATACACCAAAAACACAGCCAAAAGGAGATTGAAATATAACATTAAATTACCGCAGCCTTTCGAGGATTTTGCGGACCATCATGTTGTGTTACGCAACTTATTTTAAATAAGAAGTAGTATTCAGTTTTTTAACAAGGTTAATTTGTTAAACGTAAATAGAAAAGTTAGAGTTTATCCCTCAAGGAAAAACTTGTCTGATATTTCTATTTATGTTACCATGCAAAACATTCATGCGAAGACTTTATGCAAGAAAAACCTTCTTTTTCAGTCACCAGCAGACGGTAAGTAAGGGTAAGTAAGGTCTCAATTTAGACTAGTAAGAGTTTTGAACAGTTTTATTTGGTGGTGTAGATGGAGAACTTTTTTCGTATTCACTGTTTTTACGGAGACCATAATGCACCTTGTTTACCCCCCAAAATTTTGCATAACCATTGTCTTCCATTTCTCTTGGGATGACTGTAATACCCGGGAGAAATGGGATACAAAAGTTGGGCAAAATAGAATTTGAAAGGTAAACTAGGTGTATTATAGTCTAAGTAGAAGAGGTAAATATGAAAACAAAACTTAATTTCTCCGTTTAAACCACGAAATAAAACTTGTCAAATATTTTACTAGTTTATGTTTATAAGTGGAGACCTTTCCTACCCTTACTTACCTTCTACAAGTGACTTAAAAAAGAGGTTTTTCTTCAAAAAGTCTTAGCATAAATGTTTTGTTTGGTAACATAGATAGAAAAATCACACAAGTTTTTCCTTGAGGGATAAACACTCTAACTTTTCCCCCTAAAGAGTGGGGGGCCGAGCCCACACCCCCCTCTCCCCCTTCCCGGGAGGGGAGTGGGGGAGGGGGGTTTGGGCGGGAGCCCACACCCCCCTCTCCCCCTTCCCGGGAGGGGAGTGGGGGGGGGGTTTAATGGGAGCCCACCCCCCTCCCCTTCCCGGGAGGGGAGTGGGGGAGGGGGTTTGGGCGGGAGCCCACACCCCTCTCCCCTTCCCGGGAGGGTGGGGGAGGGGGTTGGGGGGGAGCCCCACCCCCCTCTCCCCTTCCCGGGAGGGGGGAGTGGGGAGGGGGTTTAAGGGAGCCCACACCCCCCTCTCCCCTTCCCGGGAGGGGAGTGGGGGGAGGGGTTTGGGCGGGAGCCCCACCCCTCTCCCCTTCCCGGGAGGGGAGTGGGGGAGGGGGGTTTGGGCGGGAGCCCACACCCCCCTCTCCCCCTTCCCGGGAGGGGAGTGGGGGAGGGGGGTTTGGGCGGGAGCCCACACCCCACTCTCCCCCTTCCCGGGAGGGGAGTGGGGGAGGGGGGTTTGGGCGGGAGCCCACACCCCACTGCCGGGTAATTTATTCATATATTCATAAATTTTTACTCGAAAGAGCGCCGCACTGCCGTGTTTTAGATAATGAAGAATTTTTAAACCTGTTTACTCAAAAGAGCGCCGCACTGCTGTATTTTTGAAAATGGAGTAATTTTAATAACTGTTTACTCAAAAGAGCGCCGCACTGTGTATTCTACAGTAATATTGGAGTTTTGTTTAACATGTTGTACTCAAAAGAGCATCGCACTGCCGTGTTCTTGAAAATGGGGTATTTTAAATAGCCCTCTACTTAAAAGAGGTCCGCAGTACCGTGAGAATGGAGAAAATGGAGCAGGTTATCGGTTAGGTATATATCTCACGATTCACGGGGTTATTTTATGAATTTGAGGGTTGACAGCATTTGATTTCATATTACATACTCCATATTACTCTTAAGCAGATTTGCGTATTGACAAGTAATATTAATTACAGAATATATGAACTAAAAATTATAACCTGTTGATAACACAGAAAAATCATTAAAGTAAACCAGTTTTTCTTTCTAATAATTTAATTGCGTTTTATCTTCTTTACATATATTTTCATTATCGCGAAGCTGATAAAAACGCTATCCACCCACGCTAACTTGTTTCCCCACTCCTCTCCCAGGGAGGGGAGAGTGGGTGTGGTCTACCCCTCTCCAGCCCCCTCACCCCTTTTCTCTTCCGTTTAGTCACTAGCAGGCGGGGTGGGGAAGGGCTCAGTTTTGCAAATAAAATTAAGAGTAGACAAGTTTTATATGGTGGTGTAGATGGAGAAGAAGACTAATTTATATATCTATATATATATATAAGATGATAATGCACCTTGTTTATCCCCCAAAGCTTTGCATAGCCATTGATTCCAATTACTCCTTGGCATTACAGTGGTCCCAAAAGAAATCAAAGACAATACATTTGCAAAATTTAGGGGCGAAAATAAAGAGCATTATGATCTACGTGAAAATGGTGAATTTGAACAGTTCTCTCCTCTAAAGGTTTTAACCTGCAGAGAATATCACGTGATCTAATTTTTAATTTATAAAGTATAACTGAAATTGCAGTATCTTTTTATGGAATATTAATTTTGAAATGGCTTTGAAGATATGTGCTGCTTTAGTGGCCTTGTATAAATGCTGTAATTATGGGATTATCAGCAAAAGGCAATACTAAAGTAAAAATAATAAAGGTATACAAAGGTAACACCTGGGAAGTAGTGGGTATACAAAAACATACACTGTTTATTATTAGCTACATGCTGCCTTGGGTGGTGAGGCAAAAAATACTATGATTAGGAACTCTCCCTTTCTTTTAAAGGATCAACGGTATTTCTTGCTTTCCAGCATAATTATTGCCCATTGGGGTGAGCCCTTTGTCGGCCTTATTACAGTGCATTTCTTGCATGTAAGTATAACAGTTTCATACCACTTGACTGGCCAAAAACTGTTATGCGGGAAAGCAAGAAATACCGTTGATCCTTTAAAAGAAAGGGAGTAGATTTCCAAATGATAGTATTTTTTTTGGCCTCAGCACCTAAGGCAGCATGTAGGTGAAGTTCCCATTATTAAATTTATAATTTACTTCAAACAATAAACTTGTAACCTTTGCAAAGAAATCCACTTAGAGTTGAGCCATGTGATTTTGATCAGCAGATACCCTGTTTTGAAAGCTGTCAAATGGCCACAACCCTTGCCTCCCAGCATGGTGATTTTGTATCACACAACTGTCTGAACACCTTCTAAAGGCCCATTGTGGCATTTGACTAGCTAGCCTCAAGAATTCAGAAAAGCACAAAACAATAGCAAAATACCAACAGGCCATGCCTTCCTCTAGACATGAAAAGATGGGTTTTGAAATTCAGATTAGGGACATAATTACGGAACTTAAGCAGCAACGTTTTTGAGTAACGCATGTGAACCAGAAGTGGACGTTTTGCACCTTTGAGCCGTGATTTTGAACAAATTTTTGGTAAGATCGTCTCTATAAGAATTAAGACACTTGGCAATATATATATGGTAGCGTCAAGGCTTATTAAAAGAGAAAAGGCTCACTTCCGGTTGACGGGCATCGCTCAAAAACGTCGCTGCTTAAGCTCCCTATTATCTCCTCCTCACCCCTGTGAGCAAAAATGGAAATTCAATTCGAGATGGCCTCATTACTTTAAAAGGATAATCTATTTTAAAAATGACTGACGAGGAAAAAATTAGAAAACAAACAAATGGCAGACAAACTGAGAAAGTAGAAATACCATCATTGTCATTTGGTCAGTCATATAGCACAAGTGGCTGAAAGATTTTTGTTTACCTTTACTACTACAGTGGAACCTCGATATAATGAACACCTATATAAGGAAGTCCTTGGTATAACGAACGATTTGTTTTGCCCCAGTAATAGTAAAATATATGAAACAAAAGCCTTGTTATAGCGAACACATTTTGCCATTCCCTTGGCCCTTCATTAAGTCAAGGTTCCACTGTATAGCAGAGTAAATTAAGACAACTTCAATAATTCAACTGAAAATCAACCCATTCTATTGTAATATCATTGTAATTTGTTTCCCACAGAGCACTTACGAGTTCATACGAACTCGGTGAAACATGTCTGTGCGTTCCAGATCGATTTGGAATTTGGAAGTGTTGGTTTTTAAGAAGAGGGGAAAACTGACGTACCCGGAGAAAAACCTCTTGGTGCAAGGAAGAGAACCAACAACAAATTTCCACTATTTAAACCACTTTTTAGGCTATCCTCTTTACTTGCCTAGCTCTTCCTAGGGCTTTTCATGCATGTAATAGAGAAGCCTGTTTGTCCTATACCCAGGGTGCAAGGAAAATCATTTTACAGCCTGCCATTCGGGTAAGCTGAAGCTAGCAGTTACTAGCCCAGATGTCATTTCAACTAGCCCCAAAAACTTTTTGACTAGCAAAATTGATTTCACAGTTCTTCTGTTATTCAAATTCCTCAAAAAACCTCTCTTGCCCTTCGAGCAAGTTAAAAACAGAATTCACTAGCCCCATAGCAAAATCCACTAGCCCCGGGCTATCGGACAGTACTTTCTTTGCACGCTGTATACGCCCTTTTACCACAACATATTTCTCAAATTAATAGTTACAAGCTGGCTTAGGTCATAGCCACTACTAGGTATCCCTCAAAAGAATGGAATTACAATCAAATAATATGGCAACTACCGGTATATCTTTAAATTCTAATTTGATGTGCTATTATGATGGAAAATCAATTCTCTTTTCTTTTAACATTATTTTTACTTTCCAAATTTCCTAAACGAGTTATTATTATTTTTACCATGATTTCTTGGTTTGACGGTGCATCCATCATTAATACATGTAATAATCCTTTGTTCCAGTTGAGTGGCAACAAGAGAAATTGATTTAGAGTGACAGTGATGTCATTTCACCAACAAATTAAAACTGACATGACAATATTGAATCATCGTTCATACAAATTTGGACAAACAAATTTCAACGACTTTTCAAGGACAAATTACAGTTTTCAGTGACTAAGACTTATTCAATGAATCAGCATTTTTTGTCCCCTTTTTGAACTATGGAGTCATTTACCATTTTTACTTCTTCAGCCATACCACTTTCCATGACAACACTTTGCAACGACTGGGTATGACTTGAATTTGCATCTGAGGTACAGAAATAGCATTTGAAATAAGGAAACAGAAATAAAATATTGTTTATGCACAAAAAAGTTGTAACAATTAGATTATCTGTGAGTTTTACAGGTTCTTACACCAAGGACGAGCCAAATTTTCTTCTGCGAGATAATCTAATTTCACAGAAAACAGTGTGGAGTAGACAAGGTATTGAATTTCAAGGACTTTTGAAGACCCAATAAAGGAATCCAGTACTTTTCAAAGACCTTAAGCGAATTCAATAACTTTTTTCTTCAAGACCTTTTCAAGATTGTACAAAGCTGCTGTATGAATGCTGCAAACTGCACAGGGTTTGAGAATTTGAATTTCTGGAAATTCAACTGCAGCATACTAAATAAGCAGCATTCATACACTACAAAATCCTCTGAAAAATCCACTGTCAAATCCTCTGAAAAAATGACATCATTTTCATTCTTGATCAGTCCAACTCTTACAATAAAATAAATTTCAGTAAATTAATGTGGACAGATGAACCACATGATCATTGTCAAAATAACCAGCCTCTCTTTGTAATAACAACCTGAAATGGTTATTAAATATTTCCCATATATACCTGCAGAGAAAAGAGAATTGACTCTGATCGTTATAGCACTGTATTAAATATATTCTTTGCTTTGTTATAAAATTAGTATGAAGCCAAGACAACTTCTCAACAGGTCCTTGAATGCAGCTTCCTTTATTATGACATTTCACAACCAGTATGCAGCCACAGTCTGTAGTCACAAACTTCCTCACTCTGTTGGATCCATGGTGCTGGCGAAAAATTATTAACTATTCAGTCTACGCTCAAACTGACATTGTAGTTGATTTACCAAAAGACACTCACTTCCATAATAAAAATCCTGGAAATAACACCTTAACCCTTGACGACAGCTCTGGTTGTTTTCATTCCGTAAGGAACAATGCATATTTTCCTTCCTGCACCCATTTAGCTTCCAGTTAAAGCTGCATGTAACAAGATGGTAAAAAACATCAGCAAAGAGAGATCTTTCCTCTAATACCTCGGCTTCTGTTTTTCTGACCAATCCTAATAAACTTCCATTGTGTAGTTCCAGAAATTATCGATTACCCCCCTGCCCCCACCACCCCATGGGGGGCAACGGAAATTCTGAGGGGAAGGGGGAAGGTCCTAAAGGATCATTTCCAAGGGGATGGGGGGTTACTCACGTAGGTTTTTTTCCAGGGAGCTCTGAGTAAAATCGGTGAGTTATTGATAAACAACAGCTTCTCTGATGAGCAAGTTATCAGTTATTTTACTGTTACCAGTGTTTCAAAACAAGTATTACTGTTTGCATTGATCATCTTTTATCTACGGTCAGCTAAATACTTTTTTCACGGCTTATGCCATAGCTTATGCTTATGTCCACCAAAATGCATGCCGTTCGCGCTGTTCAATCACTTCTCTCTATATCTTTCATTGTCCTTGCTTTGCTATCAACAGTGACTAAGCTATCAAACAAAACTTTAATTTTCCACGACTATTAATTTTTATGACTTTCCGGGCCTGGAAAATGAAATGCTTAAATTCCATGACTTTCTAGGATTTCCAAGACATGTGCTAACCCTAACACGTGTACTAAATCAATTCAGAAACAAGTAAAAAGTATCGATGTTGATAAAGTAGGAAGTAAAAAACATTATTTTAGCGAGTAAATCTCCTTTGTTTCGTGTAGAATTAATCGCCTCCTCATATATTTCTCGATCTAATATTCAACCAAGCAAGACTGAATGCCGCTGTAACAATAAAAACCTTCAAAAACCTTCAAAGACAACGAAAATTGTTGGCGAATGTGACTTTCCCATCCAAAACTCTTATACTGATCAGGTTAGTTCAATGTCTAAGTTACAGCAGGGACCAAAAATTTGTGACACCATTAGTGCAAAGTGCAATTACTTGTACAAGAATGGAATGTTGTTCAGTATCTTGTAAACAAAGCTAATATGGACTCATTCTAGAATGAAAGTCTTTCCAGTATCATGAAAATAGCCCCATACACAGTAACTCACCTTTTTTGATCCATTTCACCAAATTCACATTGCACTTCTCTCTGAAATAAAATGAATTGTATTACTAAAGCGCAGCAGAGGATTAGCTCAGTTGGTAAGAGCTGTGCTTGACTGCAGAGCGGGAGGTCGCAGGTTCGATTCCTGGGACCAGACCAACACTCAGGGTATTAACATGACTGAGAAATGAAAGTACTGCCTTTGCCCTGCAAATAGCTTCGCGTGGCTCTGATGACCACGTAAAATGGTGGTTCCGTCTCCAGCAGGAGACTTAAAAATAGTGTCCCCAATTAGCACGTTCATGCTAAATACATTGACATTCAAATAAAGTGCTTTTTTTTACTTAAATAAACCACCTTTAAAGAAAAAAGGTAATTTCCAATTGTAATGAGCTTAAGACTAACCTTCCACCAACCTCCAAAAGAAGGCAGACTTGATTTTGACTCTCAAGACTGAGAAATCTTCCCAGAGTCCTACAGAATGTAATACAATTCATACACTGGGAATGAACCAAAAGGACAAATTAGTTGAAGAAAATCAAAACAGTGTGCTATAGACTCCCCTTTCTAACGAGAGTTAATCTTGACTGTTTGAGCCTTTTAATAAAAAGTACTTAGGAAAACAAAACAAACAAACATTAATAACACAATCCCTTTTTTCAATGTACCCTTTTCCGACCAAACATCAATTCAACTGAGACTCGTGTCACTGAATCGTACATGTAGTCAACAGCTACTGGCACTGTACAAACTACTTATTGATAACTCAAGCAAAACTAACTACAAGAGAGTGGATTGACTAGACAACCGATAGTTTGATGAACAATAAAAAAATCTACAAAATGAATGATATTAATACCGTTATTTATTCAAATAAGCGCCCAACCTCGAATTAGCGCCCACGTCAAATAAATGCCCATCCTAAAGGCAGAAAAAGTTAATAAGTGCCCAGCTTTGAATAAGCGCCCACCCCCTCCTCCTCCCAATCAAACTCAAATAAGCACTCACCCCACCCCACCCACTTGAGTGAATAAATTCTAATAAGTCTTCTTCAGAGTATTTTACAGAAACCTTGATTTGTTACTTCTTCGCGTTTTGTTATTAGCATTTATTGTTTTGTTGCAAAATAAACATACTACACTTGCTGAAAATGGTCCAAAAATTTAATAAGCACCCAGGGCAGTTAATCGAATAAATACGGTAATTAATATCATTCTATTTGAGTCTTCAAAGCCAATAACATCATGGCCTAACTGTCAACTGACAGACAACCATTAACATTGCAACTTAATTGACCAGTCAGGTCAATAACCAGAGTCAAAGTGAGTTGTATCATGTCAGTTGATAGTATATATAATTTCCTCTGAAAATGACTACCACACAGGGTGCAGAAATGTCAGTCACGGTCAACAACAGTCCTTTTCAGGACTACAGAAGCTGTATGTTCACCCTGAAGGCGATCATGCTCCACCTACTTATCAAATGACTCCTGGATTCAAGCATTTTACAGTTTTATATCCAACTGCCATACCATCAAGTGGCTATTTAATGACAACCAAATCACTGGTCTGTGGTGTTACAATTGTCTGTTAATGGTCACTTGTCCCGCTATCACCTTTGCACTATTAATATTATGAAAATGAAGGCCCTGTTTCTGGCTAGATCTCATCTAGTGGGGAGCTCACTGTTAAGTGAATTATTAAATTGGCCATGGGCAAGGACCAAGTTACCTCTGAAACTGAAGTCCGATAGATCTTTTAACAAGGATTTATTCAATTTCTGTTGTTGCTTAGCACTGGTCCTCAAGGGCATTTCAGTGGCCAAACTAGATTACTTGTAATGATGGAATATAACAGTTAAAAAAAAGTATTTGAGTACTTAGCTTTGAAAATTATATACAGCTGTGTACATGTGTTATTCCAAGCTTACCTTTAAGGGAGCATCCCCTGTCATCAATGAACCTTACAAATTCTTTTACTTAAAAGTCACTGGTGAAACAAAAATGAGACAAAACATGGATATGAATTTTGAACAAACATTGACTATTTCTCTGTATTTTTTTCTCAAAGCCTATGGCACCTTTGTGGTGCCCTTTATAATGAAAAGATGAATGCGGCCTTTAACGAGCAAATTCTTAGATTTCTCTTACAGGATTATAGTAAGTATGTGATAGCCATTTTTAGTTTCCACTGATTTTGCGTGGTGGCTGCCGCTCACAGTGTTGTCACGGATTCCCTATGCATTTGGCTTTGCTGCTTGTCATGTGGCTTCATCTTCTTCATGCACCATTCCTGATGCTCATATTTGTTGCTGATAGGTTTAAATTATATTGTACAAGATCTAGTTTTTTACCTATAACTATCCAGGCTATCTAAGAAATAATTTTATGTTTATTCTCTGGTTTATATCCTATTGTCTACAGGGTACAGGGTGTAGTTATGTCTGTTGAGCTACCCTCTCCTAAAACTACTACGTACTTATGGTATTCACTTCTTTTTCTTCTCTCTTTTCTTCTTCTTTTTTTTATTTTAAGAGAACATTTTTTTGTAATTTTAGTGATCCGAACTTAGGCCTTTATTCTTAAGTGGAATATTCATAAGGTCATGAGCCACCATGTGCAGTAAAGATATGCAAAAGTACATTTTCAAATCTGATATGTTCTTGAAATGACATCCGAGAAACAAGTGCAGAAATACCATATTGATGACGTCTCACTACCCAGATCTGGGTTATGCTTCTGATTGGTCATGCTGGGTGGTAAATTTACTTCAGCCAATCAGAAACACTATTGAGATCTGGGTATTGATGCGTCATCAGTATGGAATTTCAGCATTCACATTTACATGTCATTGCGTGGGGAAACCAGTGGTTGTGTTGCAAAATGTCGGCTGTTTTCCCCATCTATTTAAAAACTGACCTTTATGACATACACTCCACAGCTAATGGCATCACTTCGTGTTGCATGCCCTTTTTCCCTCCACAGTGCCATGTCTTCCTTTCCAACTCCTTTTGAGCAAAGGACTAGTTTCTAAGGCATTGTAATATAAAAAATATTATAATTAAGTTATGGATATATGAAAATCGTATACGTGAACTTTGGGGTGAGGAATTATATAAAAGTAGATCATTGCAGTTAGAGATGCAACTTTTGCAGTTGCGAAAAGAAGGGCTGAAAAAAATTCAGGCTTGTACGGGATTCGAACCCTTGACCTCTGCAATACCGGTGCAACACTCCCTCCAAATGAGCTAACAAGCCAACTGGGAGCAGATCATTGAATTGGTTCGTTATAAACCCGTGAAAGGATGATGATGAAGTTATGAATATAAGAAAATAATATAGTGAACTGCACAGTGAATTAGAATAAATTATTATATGATTGAAAGTAGATCATTGCAGTTTTTTATGCAACTTTTACTCTTTTTTTTTTTTCAGGCTTTCTTTTAGCAACTGTAAAGTTGTCATTTCGAACTGTGGAAATACAATATTATTTCTTCTTCTAAGCATGAGACATCTGTTGCTCCATCAACCATTATAGATAATTATATATCCACAAGATCTACTTTGAAGACATGAGAGATATGTTTACAAAACTCTTTACAAGCGTGATTATTCATGTACATGTATGTGCTTCCAAGGGACAAACCATTCTTTCTTTGCAACGAACACAACCGTGGGAAGATAAAACACAGAAGTTTTGAATATACAATTTAATATGCTATGTTAAAAAGAAATCTCATTTTCTTGAACGTTGGTCAAAGCATGTCCCTCACTGGCCTCATGATATGTGCTTTCAGGCTTTCTGTTTGGAAATTATTTGTTCTGATCCTCAGGGAGTATTGCAAGTTCTTCCTATTCGAGAATTCTCTACAAAAAATGCTGAACATTTTGTTTTCCTTTCCTTCAAACCTCAGCCCTTCTTATCCTTCCATGCCTCCTAGTACTTGCATGTTCTTTTGGTCGAAGCAGGTGTTTCAGGTGTTGTGTTAATTTCTTTATCATCTGATGATTGCTTTCCTCCAAGGAAAGAGTACAGTGGGCCTTGCACTGGTTTCTGTTTCAACATACTTTGGCTCATGTTTCAATTCACCAAAGAAAAATAGATAACGACCTTCGAGAGGAAATTACAAAAGCCGCCATCCTGTATCCCACGATGCATTTTGTTTCAAGTAGAACCCAGACTTTTATTCAGCAAGAGAACTTTTTGCCTGTTCAATTTTTAAGACCTTTGCCTTAGGCAATTCCTTGTTTGTTTCGAGGCCCTTTTTGGTACAATACAAAAAAAAAATTAAGTGTATTTCTCAGAGAGTGATAACTTTACTAGTCCAGAGGACTAGTGGGGAAGATGAGTGGACAAATGTTAAGATCGAGCACTGCTTTTAGTAGGGAACCCAAATTAATATTAATTAATGCCTGTCCAAACCTTTTATCTTTCTACATGGGGCAGCACTTTACTTCCAATATGGAACCCCTTGTTATTGCATTTGAGGTAGGAGAATGCTACCCCTAATTTCTGTTGGGTGTTTTGTGCATTATTGGGTGTCCTGTGCAATTAATAAACAAGGTTTTTTGAGATTGTATTAAATCAACACACATTTGCCTCGCTTTGAGGTGCTTGCTTACGTTTTGCCTCACATTGATGCATTAACTCACGTGGTGATTCGTGTGTCCTCGGCATTCATCTTCCAACTTTTGCTGAGGTCTACTATTCTGTCTTCATAAAGCGTTCATCTTTTAAAAGTTTGCTGAATCTTTGTAAAGCGTAGATATTTCAAGAGTTTGCTGAAGGTCAGCTATTGATCTGTGTTTGCTAAATCTTTCAAAGCATTTCAAAGCGTTCATCTTTCAAAAGTTTTGGCGGCCGTTGTGCCACAAAGCAAATCTACCAAGTTGTGTAGGTTGGCGGTCATTGTGCCACAACGTAAATATACCAAGATGTGAAACTCAGCGGGGCCATTTCGTCATGACTTGTGATATTTTTGGCACCGGACAAATGGACATTTTAGGTCTGTGTTATTCATTCAGAAAAACTTATAAACAGCCCACAATAGCTCCACTCAAGTCACTGAAATCAACACACTCGACCAAATTACTGCACTTGTTGAGACGAACTATACGATATCACTAGCCTTCAAGACTTTTTCATAATGATACACAGTTTAACTGGAGGTTTCACTGTAACCAATCCTTACATTTAAAATATGCCATGATAAAATTAATCTATCGCAATAACCATCCATCCCTCCCCCTCAACTGCTACCTGTACGCCTAACAAACATATCCTAGTTATTATTATTATTATTTATACACCGAACTTGGCTTCCCTGTGGTATACTTTCATCAGGAAACTTGAAAGTCAAGCCAAGTCAAAGGCCTTCACTCTACATGTAAGTTCAAGATTGCTCCGAATCTCTCATTTTTATGAAAAAGTTTTCTTATTTCACAAGAAAATTTAAAACAAATCATAGGACAATAAACAGGCACTTTGAATTTGCGAGAACAAAATCTTATTTTATGATTTGTTTTTATAAGAAATCTCGAATTTAGAGTGCTTAGTATATGTTACAGCTGAGAGTCAACATGCACCATTTGCAAGGACGCTAGCGATTGGCTGCGAGGTGTTTAATCCAATATTATAAAGAAACATTGCCTCATAATGGTGCAGGTCAACTGACAGCTGAAGCCTGTGAACCGCAGACGTATTTGCATTCGCTGCTTCTAAAAAACTGGATAGTCTCGCAGGCAAGGTAGATGTATATTAAGCTTGAGTCGAAATAAAAAATAAAAACGAGAAAGCATGCCCATTTAAGCTTACAGCTATAGTATAACAAAATACAGTAGTCAGGAGTAAGTGTATTAAAATTAATGGTCTACTCTAATGGCTATCAAGAACCATGTCCCCACCAAAACCATCAGTGGCAGGTGGAAAATACCTTGGATCACCCCAGGGTTAAGGAGACTGATGAGGAAAAAACAAACAGTTTATAACCTCGCTAAACGGATGCAAAATCCGCAACATTGGAAGAAATTTAAAGAGCTACAGAAAAACCTGGTCAGGCAAGAAGAATTCACCATTTATTGGAAAGAAATTTTGGACCTACATCAAGTCCAAAAGAAAAGACAATGTGGGCATTAGTTCTTTAAATTCTGAAAATACTGAAATAATGGATGACAAAGCTAAAGCAGAAATCCTAAGCAACCAATTCAAGGCAGTCTTTGTAGATAAGGATGCAGACACGATCCCAGATATGGACAGCAGTGGTATTTCAGATATACACCCACTTGAATTTCAGACCAAGGGCATAGTGTCCCTACTCGGGAATATCAACACAAAGAAAGCCAGTGGTCCCGATGGCATTTCATGCTGGGTGCTGAAAGAAGCAGCAGAAGAAATTGCCCCATTTCTGCAATTTATATTCAATCAATCATTAACAACAGGTCAAGTCCCAAGTGACTGGAAATGTGCCAATATGACCCCAGTGCTTAAAAAAGGCAGTAAGAAAGAATCCTGCAACTACAGGCCAGTATCTCTTACTTCTGTGCCCTGTAAGATCTTGGAGCATATTATCTTCCATCATATTATGGGTCACTTGGATGCGCATCATGTACTTGTCAACTACCAGCATGGATTCGCCGGGGCCACTCATGTGAAAGCCAGCTAATTACAATATTCAAACACCTAGCCAGAAACTTAGACCATGGCAAACAGACTGATGTATTATTGCTGAACTTCTCCAAGGCATTTGATACGGTCCCACACAAACGTCTCCTAAAGAAATTAGATCACTACGGAATCCGTGGACAACTGATCAAATGGATAGAATCCTGGCTTTGCGGAAGAACTCAGACAGTTGTTGTTAATGGTTCACCATCTTCTCCAGTGACTGTACATGTAACTTCAGGAGTTCCTCAGGGCACCGTTCTTTCTTTCCCTACTTTGTGTTGGAGGGGCGATTTAACGGAGGGTTTTTTGCGTAACCAGTTTGGGGGGCTTATATTTGGAGGGGCTTATACATGGAGGGGCTTATTTTCGGAATTTGTACTTCAGTCAGAAGGAAGGCCAAACAAGAAATTACCACCCACTTAAATTTATAAGTGCTGGTTGCAGGACTAATATATATAAATATAGCTTTTTCCCAGATCCGTTAAAGAATGGAACGAACTTCCCGAAACAATTATTGAAGCTGCCAACACAGAGGCCTTCAAGCTTGCCTTGAGGGCCCAGGCCAGGAATGGATCAGCCATTGAGCATTTGAACACTTTTCATTTTTATATCACCAGCACAGATTCACCGCACTAGCGCACATAGCACGAGCACAGCACATACCTGCTGAAGATGGGCTGTACTGCCCTTTGCAGATCAGACATTTAGATTTATATTTAAAACTTGCTCAAACTTACATCGTGTTTTCACGCCAGAAGACCTCTTCTTCACGTGCATCGCTCTCCGATGATTGAATTCTTGGTTGTTCCTCGAAACCTCTGGCTCTTCCTCTAACTTCAATCAACCGCATAAATGGTCAGGTATTCTTAGGTGCTTTTCTCTCCAAAAAGGTGTGTTTTCCTTTCGAATAAACGAATGAACACGGAGTTGCATCTCCCTCCCTCCATAGCTCACCATCCGCCATATTTGTACAAGAAGGCTCGATTTCCATACGCTGATTGGATAATCTTGATCACATGGCCTTAGCGCGCGGAAAATGAAAACGAAAAATGACTCCGCTGTGTGTGAAGGTTACCGTGGTGTGCGTGGTGGGTAGCCTTGCAGTTATGGCCTCGCACGCGTTTTTATTTCTTCCAATCAAGTACCGTGTCTTCTCCATGTGACTTCCCAACTAGGGGAGGACTGTAGAATGAGTTTCGTTCGTTTCCTGTGTGCATATGAAACACTATACCCTACGTGTCGCCGCACCCTTCCCCCCTTGGGATTCGCGCCAGCAACTCATTATCAACTTGTCAAAATTTAAAACCAACATTTAGCATGCTTAGACTACGAGTAGTCCCCCATTTGTCCTTAGGAATAGTAGAGCGAGCGAAACGGGAGCGTGCGTGAAAATCACCCTACACGAGAAAAGGCGACACGCCCCCAGCATGCTGTTGATGGTACCCGGTGCAGTACGGTGATATCGGGCGCTTTTCATTTAGTCAAAATTTCCGGAATTTCCGGTTCGGCGGTAAATGGAACACGTTTCGTCGGTTCGTCCCACTGGAAAATTCCCAGAAAAAGTGGAAAATCTAAAAAGGTGAGCCCGCATTCCCGGTTGGAATTTCCGAACGGAATGTCGTGTTCCATTTACTGTTTCTCGTAGTTTGTACCAGTTCCAGGTCCACGGTCGGGCACTGCGACGTACCGGGGTTTAGCACCAAATGGAACAACTTTTTACCAATCGGAAATTCCACTTCTGCTCCCACCCGAATTTCCGGTTTTTTTCCTAAACGGAAAGCGCCCATCGTAACCGCCTCGTCCCACACTCTGATACCGCCAGCTACGCAGGCTAATGGCGGCTACGACCGATGGTTGCCGCTAGAGCGCCTACTTTTATGCTTGTGGCTGCGGCTCCACCAACAAGTATTCATGCGCAACTACAAACACAGTCACTGGCTTCAAGATCTTCGAGAAAGTGTTAACGAAAATTTGAGAGTTAGACTGTGTTCTACAGTTTAGTCGCAACGTTTTTGTAACTGTGCCGGTAAATTACAGTTTAACTTACTACGTTTCAGTGTCGCAGGCAACAGCGTTTCTTAATCTTGTACTGCTCGCTTTTTAGCAGAATAAAAGCTTTTGAAACTCTCTCCCAAACAAACTGGGCTACCTTTTTAATTTACCTTCACTGTATTCCCTTTTGTAGTTCTTAAAATCAACCGCCTCAGTTTTGTCGAGGGCCGCTCAATTAACACAAAAATCCGGTTTTATCAACACAGGGGCGTATCTAGGGGGAGGGTGCAGGAGGTTCGCACCCCCCCTGAGATGACCTGCGGTTTTCTAATACAACTGGTATTCTGCAAAAAAGAAAAAAACTATTTGGCTTACTGGTGTTGAAGTAGAGCAAGAGACGAGTGTACCCCCTCCTAAAAAAATTCCTGGATCCGCCCCTGCAACTCATGCAGTTACAAGTACGTTGTGCTGCCTTGATGTGGGGGGAGACCGTAAAATACCATGTTTCGGCTACCTGGGTGATTTGGGATAAAAAAAGTCGTGTTACCCAGTGGTTTCGATGCCTAGTCGCCTGCATGTTTCACGTTGCTGTGTGTTTCGCCAATTGATAAAGACCAATTTAATAAAATATAAAAAAGCCATCGTAGATATTGCTCCACAATGGGGTGCGCCATACAGTCGTCTGTAAAATTCAGGGATTTCAAGACACGTTCAAACTTGGCATCCATCTTTACTCATTTCAATCGGATGTGCAGGTGAAACAGTCATGTGATTTTTCGTAGATTGTTTGGGTGCCGAAATTTTGCCCATGTGTTATAAAAGAAAAAAAGGTTTTACATTTAGCGGGGCAGCCAGAAAAATTTTCCAAATGCACCCAAACCCCTCAGCTCATGCATTTCACGATAGGTCCTGAGACACAACGCTATGCTATGAGATTCAAAAGAACGTATACCTGAAATAAAACCTTTAGTTACTTTTGTGAAGTACACACTGAAAGGCTTAACGACTCGTTTCGAAATGGACAGTGTAAAATTGTTGCCCTTTTATTTCCCTTGCCTTAGCCAGTAGTAGCAACCTCCTGGGTTTCACATCTAATTAGCTCGGCATGGTGTAAACATCAGTAGCCATAATGAGTTTCTTCTGTTTGTTCGAACCCTCTTCCTTTTCGTTTGCTTATTTTTCATTTCTTTAGTCATATATTAAAATATCCTATTCATTCACCGTGGTAACTAACACGTGTCTCGCTAGGATTGACCTTCCTAACGAGTGTTTTACAAAGACTTAAAACGCCTGCCTCAAACTACATGCACAGCGAACACCCTCTGAAAAACGTTCAGTTCGAGGCTAAGTTTAAATAGTCAAAGACATCTGTGAGCTCTGAAGAAATGCCCAACTACAAAACGAACACTCTTGTTAAGGCGTGGAACAAAGTGTTTTAGCCAAAGTACGTGGGTCATTCTCGCCGGTTTTGTAGCCATGAGGTGCGTAAAGCCGTGTAGCCGGTAAAGATGGAAGAGCCTGCCACCCCCGTTTTAGCTTCTATGGGAAGTACACAACTAAGAAGAAAAAACTCGGTGGAAAATAAACCAACCAAGTGACGTTTTCTTCGAGAACCCAGTGAAGATATAGATTCCACTCGGTCTGTTACAGAGAAGTGTACAGGATTAACTACAACGCTTTCTTCTACAATCTTGTACATTTATTTCAATTCGTTCATGTCATTTCCCCACGTTAAGTGCGTAAAATGTGCCAAGGATTTTCGGAAAATCGAAGGTCAACAAATCAGACAAGTAGTTTGTTTAACTGAAAGATGTATCACTGGAGGGTAAGAAACCAACATTTGGTCAACACATCTTTTATCTATAAAAAGTTATAGCCTGTTATTTAATAGCATGTAGTGGGATATTTTTGGTATGACTTGAAACAGCACGGCGTTGCATTATATCTATGTATTTTTCAATTTAGTTTACTCTAAACTGTCTAAAAGAGAAAACAGTGGCAGGATAAGGTCTGAGTTTTACATTTTAGTTAAGTCAGTAGCTCAGAAATAAAAAGTCAAGTTGTTCTGCCATGGTGTACTTTGGTCTAACGTAACAAAATATTGAGAATTTAATGCTGTACTGTTTTTATTGTTTTTTTTTTCTTTAAAAAAGCCTTCAGACTAACCATGATCTTGCTAAATGTGTAGGAAAGAAAGTGTTGTTTACCTGTATTATAGCTTGAAAACATGGGATCTAGTTGAAAACGAGTATTTACCACCTAGTTCATGCTAAACATTTATATTTATCGATCGCTTTAGGAGTATCTCAGACTTTCATTTAAAAATGATCGATTTTTTGTTTGCGACATTGTCTTCGACTAACAAAATCGAAGCACCCAAGGCTGATGTCATCTAAATCAGTACAAGTCCTTAGTTGGACTTGTGACAAGACAGGCCAAGTGAAGACAAAGCTCTCTATTTTCCACCTTTTCTCGATATACATCATTCGTGTAAAAAGAAACAGTGCATTGTTTTAGAAAAAAAACTATTTCAAAGAAACAAGCAGAATTAAATAAATCGAGGCAAAGTGCGTATTTTTGAAAAAATTTTGATTATGTTTATTCTATATTTTTTCTCTCGAATCGCTTTCATGATCAGGTGCGCACGTGCGTAGCGACACTCAAGCAGCTCTCACATTTTCCTTTTCTGGGACCATTACCTGCTTTTCTGTACTTAATGATTTATTTATAAGGTGATCTGCCTGAATCCTTGCGCATTAGGCAAGTGAGTTTGAAAAAAAATCCCTGCAAGAAAATCTACTTGTCCTGGAGGAATGGACAGGACTTTTTTCGAATCCTGCTCCCCAAACAGATACACGTACCCATCAGTCTTGTCCACAGGATACCCATCAACTGGCCCCACTAATGTCATGGTCATTTCCCGATACTCACTTCTTCCAGACATGCATTGTAAAAGTTAAACAGGCTTCACAAATTTTGCTTGCACAAATATTCTTGGAACATCAATTCCTTCTTTTTTATTGACAGTTCTCCTGTAAGCATAATCATTTTCCAGTGCTTGAAATCCAGCTTGGTGAAATAATGTCTCAACAAGATCTGTAAATTCAAGGGAAAATTTCATATCAATAAGGACAGCACAGCTGTCTCTAAGATGTCAGGTTGCTGGCTATATGCAATATTAACCAGGAAGGGGAGTACTTCCATATACAGGCTATATACTAGGTACAGCGTTAGCAAATTTTATTGATGAGTGGAGTCAGTGTGACTTTTGCTTCACAAATTTTGGGGTCATTTTGGAATATTTGGAGTCAAGTATCAGACTTTCCAGCACGTGGTCCCGGCATGTATACACTATCGTGAGAGATACACGAAGTAGCTGTGGCGGTCCGCTGACTTGGAAAGCTCAAATCCATGGTGGCGGTCATCGAGTAAACTTTGATCGTAATTTACCCTCTTCCTGTTTTGTCGTGGAGTATAATTCTTTAATTTCGATGATTTAATTAAGGTTTACAACGTTTACAATTAACGTAAATTGTATTTGTTGCGAAAAAGGTAAGGATAAAACTGTGTTTGTTACCGAAAATTTCTGGAGTCGAAGTGGCTCCCTGTTTGTTACCGAAAATTTTTGGAGTCAAAGTGACTCCCTCCGTAACCTCAGTGGAGTCATCTGAACAATTTTGGCGTAAAATACGCCAAATTTGGCGTATTTGCGAACCCTGTAGGTATGTGTAGTAGTGAAGGGTATGGTTTTCAAGCAGACCGCCATTTGGTTAGCTCAGTTGGAAGAGGACTGGGCCCATTTCTCTAAAGTTCTGATAATTAACGGGCCCGTAAAGCTGTTGTTGTTTACATGCAAGGTAGAGGTTTCAATAGTTTTGCATCTAACATGATAAAACTATCAGTTAATGGAGTACTGAGTTTGCTAGCCAGAACCCCCGCTCTTATTCTTCATATTTTGATTTAAAAATTTGATTTCGGGCCCAAAACGTTACCGGGGCTTTCGAGAAACGGGCCCCTGGTCTGTTGAGCAGGGTCAGACCAACACTCAGGATCTTTAAAATGACTGAGGAGAAAATGCTGCCTTTTTAATGGCATCTGGAAACAGTTAGACTTTCTAGTCTTCTCGGATAAGGATGAAAAACCATAGGTCCCGTCTCACAGCACTTTCACTAAACTGGTTCTTGTGGGACGTAAAAGAACCCACACTACTGTTCAAAAAGAGTAGGGGATGTAGATCCTGGTGGTGTGGCCAACCTTTACTAGGCTGGGTGGGTTTTCTGTAAGGAGAGATCTTAATATAGGGCTAACTTTATCATCCTCCATCAGGTGTCATGATGGCTACCTGTAAACAGTGTATGTCTGTATGTGATTGTTTAGTCTGGGATAGGGTATAGAAATCAAAGAGTTTGGGTCTAGAATAGAGTATAATTTTCCAGGAAACTGGTCAACTAGTTGATTAGTCTAGGGAAACCAGGAATAAACACTCACCAATATAAAATATATTGGCAACTCTAAATTTACCCCTAACTTAATTTAACAGGAAAGGAAGTCTCCACCTCCATAGTTTCTTAAAAATAGCGACTCCATGATAAGACAGGGTTTTGGAAATTTATTCAAAGGATATGGTAACAATGTTCACATGAACTACTGGTAGGTCTGGTGTACGCTATGGGTTCTGAGGTCCTACTGGCACATCCCCACCAAACAATATTGAAACTATCTACAATGAACAGCCCAGAGGCTGTTTTGGCTCCATTTTCATTTTGTTTTCTATAAAAGTAGCTGGGGGTAGACTATCTAGGGAAAATCCCTGCCCTCCAACCCTAAATGACAACCCTGGGACAGATAAAGAATTATTATTAGACACTGGGTTATTATTGATGGATGCATTTCCAAAATTTTGAGTGCCTCAGCTAAGTAACCACAGTGTAAGGGCCATAAGAAAATATTATCCAAACATGACAAACCATTCTAAGCAAAATTTATGATAATTTCTTGCTTATTAATTTTTTTATACTACTACATGAGAAATTTCTGCAATTTGATTGGCTTAGAGCAGTGGCATTTCAGCTTAATTTGAAATACCTACATGGGAAAATTACAAACCTTTTGTGGGTAGTTATATAAACAAATCATAGCATGTACGTGATATTTCAAAATTATCTCAAATTTCACTCGCCTAACGGCTTGTGAAATTACATACAACAATTTCGAAATATCAATACAAATTATGCTATTACCTATAACACTACTAGTGATCTGCTAGTTGGGTGCGAGACAGTTCATTGTCATCTCATAACCAACACATGTATGCTTATTGGCTATTTACTCGAAAACCAAATACATGTAAATAATTGTGCAAATAAACACAGTTAACTTTTTTCCTGTGATTAATGTACTGAAGCCTACCTTTTGAAAAGTAGTATGCTCTAGTCCCATCTTGCCTGACGTAAAAATTATCCGACAGTTTATTTCTAGGATTAAATCTCAGCATGGCATGATCATAAAGGCCATAATCACGAAAAAACAGCAATCCCCCTGGCTTGAGAATCTGATAGAAACACAAAACCATGAGATCCTGAGTATTTTGTTCTCATCTCAAACAAATAAAATTTATTTGTTTTCAATAGGTCCAGTGGTATATGCCAGTGACAGATCTGGGGAAGGGTGTCCCCGTCCTTGTCCTTAAGTTTTAGACCAATCAAATCAAGGCTTGCAGGGTCAAAACATTACGTTCCAGAGTGTCCCTCTAATCTCAAGGGCCTGGAATAGAAGCCCCACCCCATACCTGAAAGTCTTGAATCACCACTGTACTCCACAACTAAAGAAGAAGTAACAAAGGGATAGTGAAAAACACTTTCATGCTAATCTGCAAATTCAAATCAAAATTTATGATGATTTTTTGAGTAACTTTGACCATCTAAGAGACTGGACATTCGAGAACTTTAGAAAAGGCAGATAAGAAGCTTTTCAAGGTACATTCAGTGGATCCCGATTGCCCGCTCAGTAACATCATTCCGAAGAAGAAAGAAACAAAGTATCTACTCAGAAACAAAAGTGCTCATCGCCCAAAGATAAAGACTGATAGATTTAAGAATGTTTTTGTAAATAGGATTATTTTTAGATACAATCTATGATCTTTCTATTATTTTTGTACACAGTTTGTCTTATTTATTTTTATCTTTTTATTTGCATACATGTATTTTTAGATTCCCAACTGCTAATGTAACTTAAGATAATTTCCTTTTATTTTAGGAGAATAAAGATTGATTGATTGATTGATTCTTGAAGGACCAGATTGGACTTATTTTAGGGGTGCTGTGCCAAATATATTCCTTGACCTGTACACAGGTTCTGAATCAAATCAACTGAGTCTATAAATTCCTCAGCACCAGTTCTTACAATCTTCATGAGTATCCACATACTAGAATCATGTAGAGAAAAGCAGTCTGCTGTGTCACTACAAGTTAAATGGGAAAGTGCTATAAGGCCATTATTTACACACGTACACGTTTTAACGAGAACTTTGATGCTCCTGGGTTTTACGTTTCTGAATAAAGGATTTGATTTGAATTTGATTTGATTTGATTTGGAAAAACAACACTTTAACAAAATGTAGGTTTAAACCTCAGTCACCAAGTCCTTAAAGGATACACTGTACATGTATTTATTTGGAACATGTTTTTAGAGCTCACAGGTATTCTGAAAATCCTGACTAATTGTCACCAGTTTGGTTTTAGTCTCCTATTAATATGAAAGAAGCATGGTTAATGGGAGCATAAGGGATGATGGGAGGCCTCGTCTCTGTCAAAGGCATACTCCCTTTGGTCACGCTATACACGACCCGTCCTCCACATGCAATCCAAACAGGGATGACAATCTGAAAATCTGTTTGTTAAGAAAAATAAATTAACTAGGCAAAAATACACACAAACCTGTATTATATTTTGAAGGACAGCCAACATTTTGTCAGGATGAATAGCAGAAAGCACGAAGACTAAAGTCGCAATGTCCACACTACATTCTGGTACATGTGAGAGTAGATTATCACTTGTTAAATCGCACTGAAAAGCATTCACTTTATCTTCACTGAAGGCAGCATGTTCCTTTGAGATATCAGATTAATAGTTTATTATAAATAAATATTACTAATTATTTTTTGCCGTATTTCAAATTGGTCAAAAATATCAAAATATACAAATTTTGTTTTTGTTTTGTTCTCTGAAATTAGCTCATTATTTATTTGTGGACAGTGTCTAAACAATTTTATTGGGCAAAAGAAATATACATGGTACCATGGTTTAAACTCAAGAATTAAAAATCCAGTCTCAAGACTTGAGGATGGAGACATGAAAGGCTGCCAACATACTTTTGAGCAGCACTGTATCTCATGTCTGATTAGCTTCTCCCTTGTGACACAGTAACATTCCAGAATTGTTTTTGGTGAAACAGTTGTTTTTTGTGGTTTCTTTGCATGTGCTGGTCTCTACAGTGACTGTAGCCTGCCAGCAAGATCTCTGGGGGCACTCTGGCAGCAGGGCGGGAAAAGGAAGGAGAGCTTGCAACTGCATCTCTGGAATTTGAATATATTCGGGAGAGCTTGCTCGCAGGCTACAGTGACTGTAACTGCGGTTTAAAATGACTGGTGCATATGTCATACCTGCCAATGCTCCCGGTTTTCCCAGGAGTCTCCAAGTTTTTCATCAAAGCTCCTGGTCTCCCGGTTAGAGCACCAAATCTCCTGGGAAATACCTACCTTGGCCTTTTTCAAAATTTTTTTCATTAATTTCATTATTTTCAAGATGTCAAAAGGAAAATAAAACAAGAAGTGGATTTAGAGCTCATATCATAAAATTGACAATTGGCTGAGAGCAAACAAACTTACTCTAAATATGACTAAAACCAAATTTATGCTTATCGGATCTAGGCAGAGGGTAAGTACTCTCACAGAGTCCCCGACATTTGCAATTAATGATTTTGAAGTTAGCCAGGTCACTACTGCAAAATCACTTGGAGTGACCATAGATGACAGACTTGATTGGAGTGGCCATATCGAGAAAGTAACAAAGAAAGTCGCTTCTGGTATTGGGGCCATAAAACGAATAAGGCACCTTGTCCCTCAGGCGACCTTACAACTAATATATCAAGCTTTAATACAGCCACACTTTGATTATTGCAACATTGTTTGGGGAAACTGTGGGATAACCTTACGGAATAAGGTTCAAAAGCTACAAAACAGAGCAGCCCGTGTTTTGACCTACTCAAGCTATGACGTAGATGCTGGTCACCTTTTCAAACTTCTAGGGTGGAAAAACCTAGCTTGCCAGCAACAATTTCAAAGAGCTACGATGGTTTACAGGTCTCTGCACGGGTTGGCTCCAAACTATCTTAGTTCTAAATTTGAAAGGCGAGAAGTCGCATATAACCTAAGGGACTCTGAAAATAAACTCAATGTTCCATTACCGCGCACAAACTATTACAAAAACAGCTTCAGCTGTAGTGGCGCCATTCTCTGGAACAGTCTTCCTTGTAACTTAAGGGAAGCAGAGTCCCTTGGGCAATTTAAACGATTACTCAAAGAACTGTAAGGCACGGCATTCGTGGAAAGCAGCTTTTTTATTTAAATATTTTTATTATATTAGTATTAGGCATTTTTAAAGCTGATGAATTTTGTACCGTGGATAAATAAAGATTATCTATCTATCTTCTGCTCTGACTGTATGAAAAAAAAATTTAAGATGGGTGGGATTCGGGGCTACTTTTCTTTTTTTTTCAGCAGCTAATAACTAGACGATGAAGATAGCTAGAAACCCGCACTTACTTCATTGTAGGTGTCCGACTTTTCACACAAGCTCAAAAGTTCCTCAAATTCTGCAGTTGTCCAGTGTCGGTCTTTAAAAAAGTTGGTCGCATTTCTCTTGTAAAATAGATCCCAGTTCTTCTGAGCTTCTTTTTCTAGTTTTTTCTGCTTGAATTCTGACACAATTTTGCTGTTGTCTGCGAGTTTTTTCTTGTCTTCTTCGGAAAGAGCTGAAAAAGTCACCTCATCGGCCATTAGTAAAGGTAGCCGCTGACCACAAAAATTACCCAGGAGTCTACCGGAAATTAACATCCCATAAAGCTTTGCGCGCGCGTTTACTACTTCCACCGTGAAAGGAGAGTCAAAATGTCGGAAGAAAACAAGGTAATTTTCAATTACTTTGCTCATTAGAGACGTATTTTTACCATTTTGGGCTTTTCTTGCCTCATTTTAAGATTGTCGACATTGATTTTCTTTTCAGGAGGTGAAACCCGAATCGGAGCACATCAACTTAAAGGTTATGGCCCAGGTATAACACATTTGATCGTTTGCATTTATGTCATTAATGCCCATTTCATAGAAAGCGCCTATTTTATGTCGTGTACGAAAACAAAATTTTAAGCAGTTATTCCTCTGTGTTTAGCGGACGATTTATTCTTTAACTTTCAATAATCAATCCTTCGATTTTCGCGTAAAAAGAAGGGTATCAAATTCAAGGTTCGACAACAGATCGAATCGCGAAGGGTTCTTAACTATCACTTCGGTTGGCTCAGTGAAGTGGTTCCTCTTTCGAAATCCTCCCATCTCGTAGAATCAGCCTATTGTCTTGCAGCTCTCTATAATTTTCGCTGATTCGTGTCGCCAAGGTATGCATTTTACAACCATGTTTTGTTGACTTTCATGCTAGGAAATGGCGGGAAACATTTCCACGTGCTCTATGTAGCTGCTGCGTGAACCCGACAATTTTGCTGATGGTTCGTACGCAATGCAAGCTCATATTTAAAACAGATTTGAACTGTCATTTATCGCCGATGCCTTTTTTATCGACAGGACAACACAGAAGTACATTTCAAGATTAAGAAAACGACACAACTAAGAAAACTAAAACAAGCCTTTTGTGATCGCCAGGTAACGCGATGCTTACTTTAGTGTTGAAGCATAAACTGATGTTGTTCACGATGTCTTTCACGCAATTGTCACATGATAGCAGAGCAGGTTTTACTCTTAAGTCTTGCCTTGTGTTTCCAGAGGTTAAGCGAAAAATTTAGGTTGCTTTTTTTGATTTTGAATACATCGTGTATTCCATGGGGTGCTGACCAAAAATAACGAACTGGTCAAAGGTTAGAGTTTATCTATTTTATACAAAGTAGATGCCCTATATTCACAGCTAAATTTTTGTCTTTTTGTTAAGAATCGTGATGTAGAGAAAACACCGTAATGATCATCGTTTTCCTGGCCCCAGATAGTCAAACATTGGATAGAGTTATACATATTTCGGACAACTGGAGCCTGTCCGGCAGTCTAAGGTTGTTTACCATTTACCACAAATTCCGGGAAATTCCTGTTGGGATGCAAATGGTAAATGGTTTTTGGTTCATCCCATTGGAAAATTCCCGGGACAAACAAAAATTCTGAAAAGGTAGTCCTGTTTTCCTAGTTAGCACATTCTGAATGGAAATTTTTTTTACTATTTACAAGTTTCTTGAGTTTCATACTAGTTTCATGTTGCAACTAGAATCCAATCTAGCGCAGCGCGACAATTGGGAAATTTTAGGCAAATGGTAAACGACATGTACTGTTCTTACTGACAGAAAATTCACAACCAAAATTTCCCGTTTTTTTAACATGGTAAACAACCTTATTGCTAAGGCCTAGGCAAGTCTGTTGTAACTACATTAGTAAACTAAGACAAGCATGCAACTCCCCAGGACAAACAAAGCAGGTAGAAATAACTCAAGATTTTTCAAGCAGTTCCTATTTTTTTTCCTCTGCATTTATTTTAAAGGGTGTTGCACTCAACTCGCTTCGATTCCTCTTTGATGGACAAAGAATTAATGACGACCAGACGCCGAAAGATGTAAGTTTGTATTTACACGTAGTCAATTTGATTTTTTGGTAGCCCCTTACACTTCATCTTAAGTGTAGTGTGACTGTGTTACTTCCAAACACTTTACAGTGCACACTCTTGAACCACGAACACTTCAACATTTTGTCTGGAATTTCTGGTGATAAACCAATCAGCTTTCCTCATAAAAAACAAAAGAATCAAAATTTTTTAGGCAGCAACCAATCTGTGAGGTTGCGCTGAGACATGTTTCAACTTTTCATGCATGCAACTCATCTTCTAGGATTGAAATAAATGCATGAGCCTTGTTATGAGGTGAATCTGCGATTGGACGATGCAAAAAAAGCAAAAATTTGTTATTCCTGTTGAGTGACTGTCCAAACTGTAATATATTTGGGAGTAGGAAAAAGTTGTACATGGTGATGAGTGAAATAGAGGTCATAGCGTAAAACACTACCACAAGCCTTATCCAACCAAGACTATTTCTTATCATTGGCTTGATTAAAAAATTACTTTTAGTCATGAAAAAAAAAAAAGACCAAACAAAACAACCTAGAGTACAAAAAGAGAGAACCAAAATGTTGTGCAAAGAGGTGGGGCTTATATGTGAGTTTTGCAGCGCAAATCAGACATTGGGGTTCACGCACTTCAGTCACAAAGTTAAAAATGTTTTCACTTTTGTAAGTTGAGTGAAAAATCTGTTGTTTTGCCTTTTAGCTTGAAATGGAAGATGATGATGTTATTGAAGTCTATCAAGAACAGACAGGAGGCCAATGAATTTTACCGCGACATCCCAACATTAACACTGCCTGTTACGTTCTCCTTAGAAGTACAAATACCACCAAAGTTCCTGTTGTGTTCAGATTCTAGATTCAATATACCATATGCAGCAATTCATTGATTTTAGAATGAAGTCTTTGCAGAAAACAGGGCATTTTTAGTTAGTTATTATTGCTACTAAAGTAATGTATAAAGGACTTAGTGGATTTTGTGAGTAATTTTTTGCCTCATCTTTTGTTCAGTCAGTTGATTTTTCTTGCATTAATTTGTCTGTAAAGGAAACATTGCTTGTAAAGTCCAGCTTAGACATTAAAAGTGTACTTTTAGTGAAGGGTTTCATTTTTTATTCTTGATGAACATGAATATTGCACCTTAAAGGTTTGCCAACAGGCAGGGTAAATAAACCTCTACTGTTAACATTTGTTATTTTTTTTCTTTTCTTAAGAAAACATAGATCACTTAGAACTTTTGTTGTTTGCAAATTAGAGGATTTACACAAATTTGGGCACGTGTTAAAGCTAAAGGCAGCCACCCTTCTCATGTTAGAAGCCTACCACACAATTATAACAGACTCTTGCTAACATGATGACAACAATTGTCAATTGTTATTTTTATTATTATATACATCTTGTCAGCAGTAACTGATGCAGAACGGCAACATTCAAGATTCAAACAATGTTCAAGGCTGTATTTGATTGACCTTGTGTACAGAAAAATCCAAAATATCCATTCTATTCACGTACTATTCCTATCCTGGAATAAGAGGAATTTAAATTATTGGAAAGGTTGTACACCAGGGAGCAGAAGCCTTGTTAAAAATAATAATAACAATAATGGCATTTTCCTCGAGATAACAAAGAATGGTGGGTGTCATCAGACACAAATGGCACTTTAACAGAATGGCACTCCATATTAAAAGGTAGGGATGTAACTATTACATAAAGAAAAGCACAGGCGGGCCCATATGCCTATGAAGAGAAGCCACTTCTGCAGTAGCTTACTTGCACTTTTTAAGTATTTAGCAAACAAATTGTCATGTACATGTGCATAACAATAAATTTCCCCCATCAAATCTTGTGTCATGTCTTTTATAAAAAGAAAAATATTTTTGTGCCAACAACGCGACATTGGTTGTAGACCCCGCATGTGCAAAAAAAACTACACAAATTTGTCTTTGTTTTTGTTTATTCAATTTGATTTGTTTTGTTCGTTTTTTCCATTAAAACATTTACGGTCCAATAATCCAGATTGTATTCCTATTTAAGTTTAAGGTCAATTGAATGCACCCTAAAGTATTTCATCCATTTTTTATTACCATATTATTAGTCTCTGGTTTGATTTTCCCTTATTCTGTTGTGTATGAACAGAAGTTATTGCAAGTGTCAGTGAAAACTCCTGTCTTAATCCACTGTTATTTAGAAGCTCTGGTGAGTGGCTAAAGTTGCCTTTTAGTGGACACAGAGGCAGCAGTTACTCATAGAAAATATTTTTTTTAAGTGGAGCAATAATATTATCATTCGATGCAAATGTTTCTTCCTTTTCATTGGTGGAGAGCCCACCATGTGACCAGCAAATAACTCTCTTCTCATGCACAATATCATCCAACTGTGTTTGGCTGCAAATAATATTCTTCTCATGCATAAATGAAACCACACTTTCCACCTTCTTGCGATCACTATTGTATGAAAATAGCAAAATGGCAGATGCCCATTCAAAAACAAACCTGGTTACCCAATGATAAAACAGTAATTGAACTTGCTTATGGCAAAACCTCACCCAATAATTGTAATTATTCCAGGGTACTTCATTTCATCCTTTTTGTTTGGTTGATGCAAATGTGGGCAAATAAAGGACTCATCCTTATGGCTTAAGGCAAAAATGTCTTTCCCTGGTCGCTCCTGGTCCTCCTCCTCTTGGTCACTGAAAACACACTTTACAGAAACCCCAATATAAAGATTTTCCCAGGGAAGGCCTTTGGACTACTCCAACAAAAAGAGAGGAGCCCTTTCCCATACCTTTGTACCCTTAGCTTTTAAAAATCTGGTAACACCAGAAAAAGGTTCCCTTTAAAATTCCTGAAAAAATTGTAAGGGAGACTGAAATTATTACAATTTTAATTGAGGGACTGCATCGCTAGGAGAGGCATTGTTAAACCGAATAAACTTATTTACAACAGTGGTGTTTATTCTAAAAAAAAAAAAATGAAAGGTAACTTGAAAAAGTGCACTAAATTGTTTGTCTTTGAAGCCGTATCTTTCAGTTAATTTAACATAACACGGCTTCCCACAGCACATTCACAACAGCTAATTGATGGCCAGTGTCAGGTAGCCTACTTGAACATGGTCTAAAAGACTGTTAAACTCAAATGACAGGTTGTTTTTACATGAAAATCTCAGCATAATACAATATCTTGTTTGCATAAAATCCTTTTTTTAAGAAACAACAATCAGAAATTAAAATAAACTGTGTACGTTCTCCTGTTCTTCCTCAAGAAAAAACTTTTTATGAGGTCAGAGAAGACATTTTTACACAGTCTGAAATTAAAATACATATTTTTTTCCCTATTAGTTTTCCTTTAAAACAACTCTCTCATGAACTGACAAAAAGCTGTGAAAACCATTTCCATGAATTTTGCTGTTTGGTTAAGAATCCCAAGAAAAAATTGGTTCCTGAAAAAAAAATGAAATCTGTGTCAGAACAAAAACAAAGTACACCAAAAATAGCTCCTAGTTTTGGACCAAATGAGAAGCCGGAAACTGTTAAAATTGTCGTTATTCACATTTTTGTATGCAGTGATAATACAAATGTATTATTTTATTGAAAAAAAATTATTGGCACGGCAGGGCTCAAAGTAATTTTGAATTGTGGCCAGTTGTGTTGACCGGCCAAACAAATTATAGCTTGGCCAAGGCTCGTATCTGACCAGTCAAAATGTTGAAACATAGCGATAAAATTTTATTATAAAACATTAATTTATTATTGGCATTCAGAAAGCCGCGAAATCATCAGATCATCAGATGGCATCTCATTTGCATTCTCCAAATTTATACCTGCAAGCACCTAAAACATATCATGACTTAACTGTTTTTGTAATTAAATTTACAGAATTATTGAATAAATTTATTTTTCCAGATATTTATTTGAAAGCCATGCACCTGACCATAAAAAATTCCAAAACTACGAGCAAAAATTAGAAAACTAAACTACCTACCAGCAATTTACAAATCTCTCTTGGGGATATAGTAAAATTCCAAAATAAGCCCCTCCATGTATGAGCCCCCCAAACTCGTAACACAAAAACCCCTTCGATAAACCGCCCCTCCAAATATAAGCCCCCCCGGGAGGCTTGTACTTGGAAATGGCCCTCAAATACAAAGTAAGACAAAGCGAAAAATGGTAAATTTCGTTCCAACTATAGACAGGGTTTGAGCCAGGCCGTGCCATTGCGCAATCCCGCACTGCAATTGGAATTGTCCCTTTAAAAAACGGCCAAGGGGACAATTTGTCCCCTTCAAAATTTAGGGAAAAAACTCGAAAGGAAGCACACACGAAGAGATTTATTTCAGTACAGAAATTGCAAGCTGAAACAGAACGTGGAAAGTATATTTTATCGCACCTTTAAAGTTCATTCCAAAGTTACGCTTCAGTCACACTCTACTGCTATTTTTGGCAGAAATCTAAGACAGGGCTTCTGATTCTTCGCGCGGTCGCGGAGCCGCGAAATTCACAAAAACACGAAAAATACCGCGAAATTCCATGTCTGTAAATACATGTCTGTAAAACATATTTGAAACTTATTTCAGCTATAGGGGCTATTTACTTGCCGTAAACTTGCAAATTTATCTTGGAACTTCGTCACTGAAACGTGCAAACAGATTATGTTGTGAAAAACTGGGCACTAGCCATGATGTTAAAGGCTTTGCCATTGGTTCATTTCTGGAGTGTATTGTTGTTGAAAGAGCAAATGATGAGCTCTGTTAGAAAAACGTTAAAAAGGCTGGTCTGATCAGCACAAAACCAATCGATTTCTAGCGAAATTTGCCTTGAAAATAACCACAAAATCGGCTGTTTTTTACCGATTGCTTTTTGGTGAAGTTTGCCCCGAAAACTCCCTCGCAATCGGCCGATTTTTCCGCGAATTTGTCCCTAAAAATCCCACGAAATTTGACTTTTTCTTCCGAGACCTATCAGAAGCCCTGCTAAGAAGACAAACCCCTTTGCATCAGCAGAAGGGTGTACAAATTTCTGTCCCCCTAAAAATGAAAATGTCCCCCAAAATTTAGCCAAGGGGACAAATTGTCCCCCAGTGATCAAATCCTAGCTCAAACCCTGCTATAGGTTAGCCCAATTGATTTTGAAATGCAAATTTCCCTCCATAGATAAGCCCCTCCAAAAATAAACCCCTCAAAAAGGGCCTTTGAAAAATATAAGCTCCGGGGCTTACTTTCAGAATTTAACGGTATGTAACTTCAGGGTTCATACCACTTTTTGAACAAAAAATTCAAGGACTTTTAAAGGACTTTCAAGGACACATTTCCCATTTTTCAAGGACTCAATTCGATGCAAAAAAGAGCCTTCTGTGTATGTCTTTTTTACTTCTTCCACGACACAAGCAATTTTAATATCCTGAATGTCTTTCGGTGTTTGCTGGGTTGGATAAAGTTAGCACCGAAATTCAAGGACTTTCCAGCACCTACTGCTAATTTCAAGGACTTTCAAGGCAGGACTTTCAAGGTGCATGTCCGCCCTGTAACTTTTCTGTTATGCAACCTGTCAATTCACAAGGCTGATGAAGTTCAGAGATTTGGACAAAATATTTGTTTCATTTTCTTAGTTTTTGCTCTGAGTTTTGGGATTTTCTTTACTAAAATTAATGTGTTTGCCAGAGCAGAAGAAAAATCCTTTTTGGTAACTGAAAGTTTGTCTGGACAAATGGTCATATGGTCAACTTGGCCAGACACTGTCCATTGCCTAGCCATTATTTTGAGCCCTGCAAGGTAACCACAATAAAATTAGAACTCACCCTTTCTAGAAATATCCTTTCCTTTTTCCACGAGTTTTTCCACGACCTCTTCCAGGCTTTACTTTCCCTTTTCTTTCAATAAGTTCTCTTTTATCCAGACTAAACCAAGGAACTTCAAATTCCCTACAAGTGTAAATGCAAGTCACTCATAAAACTTGGCTGCCGTTGCTCAATTTGAAGGGCAAGTTCAGACGTTACATGTACACTTCTCATGACTAAACCCTAATGCCTTAACTAAGGACATGAGAACACAAAACTTAGTTTTGAAGTAAATTTGCCGCAGTGACCATACAGATATTCAAACAGGATTTCGCCTGGCTACTATGAACGTGATCCACGACTACTACTTCTATAGGAAAATAGAAGAAAAACAGAAGCAAAAGAATTCCCTAGCTGATTGATTCCCCGCTTCTCATTGCAATTGCCCAGTAACTTGAAATCTTAGTGATAGCCTTGTTCATATCTAATATTTTGGGTGCCAGCTCCGTAAATCCATGGTTTATGCATTAAGCAAGGTTTATATATCAAAAAAGGAACACAGCAAAATGACAAAAAAGAGAGAAAGAATAAACTAGCAGTAATCATGGATAAGTAAGTGTGTTAATTGAATTTTTGTCATTGAGATTGCTGATAACTGTCAAAAAAGTGGAGGACTTTGCACAAATTTGCAGTAGATTGTGTGGAGGCAGTCTGTCTACACATGTACCTAGCAGTCGTATTTTATCAAAGACTTGAGCGGTCAAATTGCCATGGACTTACAAGAGAGTATTTTCTGAACTAACCATAGCTGAGTGAAAGTGTTAAGCTTATGCTTTCCGCTTTATCCACGTAAGTCAATGCAAGCACACTCATACACCAACTTACATGTACATACAAGTGTACATACTGAGAAGCAAATCAAACACAATATTAGAAGTTACTTTGCTCTGTGGCATTCTATTGAACTTACCTACTGTGGAAAAGTGGGACAGGAAATCCAAAAGCAACAACAGGAACAGTATCAGATACCTCCACCGCCATCACTGCAACCCAAGTAAATACCTGTGTTAGTACATGCTGTAAAATCTCCAGCAACAACAACAACTTATTATAGCACGAATTAGAAAAGTAGAAAATTAATATCTACCCATAGTAGTAATAGCTAATCGAGGCAGGTAGTTAGAACAAGATATATAGTACCATTCATACATGAACAGTTTTAGCGGTACCAAAAGTGAAAAATTGAGCCAACTTTCATGCGTCCAATGTCCTTGAATGCATGCACTAACAAACCAAAAATAACTTTCCTGAGCAAACAAAGTTATTTGACAAGGACACTTATCCAATAACTAGCTTAATCTTAGCATACCTTCTTCTGGACACGGAAGAAAAGACTCAACACTCTTTTCACAGTCGCTTTTACATCCAGTTCTTTTCCCCTTCAATCTTGCTTCCTCACGATCTCTGCTTTTCTTTTCAAGATTTTGATGAGCTTGAATCGCCCGCATATGCTGAATGTCCCACCTAGAAAGGAAAAGTAAATAAATCCTTACCAACAATATTCAGACCATTAAACACTGCAAACAATTTCATCAATATCAGCCTCACTCCTGGCCCAGTCATTCAACAAGTTTGGATGTGACGTCACCCATCAAGCTTGTTCAGTGGCAGAATTCACCTCGCACCCCTGGCATAAAATAGAAATCCAAAATGGCAGTGCTGTTTGACTTACCATTCTGTAAGGAAGAAAAATGGCCCCACAATTTACTAATACTAAAGTCAAACACCCAACATATTTTATTATCTTGACCAAACAAAAATATTTGATTTTTGTGAGGAACCTGTGACTTTTGCCATTTTTCCCAAGTCTTGGGCTTACATGTTTGGTTCCAAGCTTTTTCTGCTCACTTGCATAGTGACAAGTCTGCATCAAGAAAGTGGTAGCTCTCCTAACGGACACTCTCATAAGCAGAAAGCTCTACTAATGGCCACCTTCAGAAAACAAGGTTTTTCTCAACTCCCATACAAATTCTGTATTTTAACATTCCCATAAACGGCCAGCCCCAGTTATGGACACCTTTTTTATAGTATAAAATAATTTCCAATTAACACAAAGTGTTACCTTTTTCTTCTTTTCTCTTCAAGTTCTTGTTTCATGTGCCGCTTCACAAACACTTCATCATCAACAACCTGTTAACCAGAAAACATTGAAGATACAGGCAACTCAACTTACCGTAATACCATTCTAGCATTAAAAATTGACCCCCACAGAAAGGTTTCCTGTTATGCCCAACTGTGGCAATTATGTTAGAAGAGAAGTTGTTAATACCTTGTAAATGTGACATACCTGTTGAGGGGCTAGGAAGAAACTATTGGAGTTGTGCAATAAAATAATATTTATTCTAAATTACTTATTTTTGATCAAGGAGATCAAAAGAAAACAAATTGGGCATTTTTTAAGCTGCAAAATAACCCTCAGAAGAAGGGATTTGGAAGAGAGCATTCACAACGAAAACCACTGACCACAACTACTACATGTATGTGTCAGACATAGAGTGTCAAAGTGATCGCTTTGTTTGCTTTTCAGCATACTTTTCGTCTTTTCCGAAAGAAAATGCATTTCAAAATCTTGAAGAAAACTTACGAACTATAAACTGGAAAACAGAATTCCCTGACTTTTCACTGACTTTGACAATAGATAGATAGATAGATAGATAGATAGATAGATAGATAGATAGATAGATAGATAGATAGATAGATAGATAGATAGATAGATAGATAGATAGATAGATAGATAGATAGATAGATAGATAGATAGATAGATAGATAGATAGATAGATAGATAGATAGATAGATAGATAGATAGATAGATAGATAGATAGATAGATAGATAGATAGATAGATAGATAGATAGATAGATAGATAGATAGATAGATAGATAGATAGATAGATAGATAGATAGATAGATAGATAGATAGATAGATAGATAGATAGATAGATAGATAGATAGATAGATAGATAGATAGATAGATAGCTTTATTAAAAATCCATTGCAGCCCAAGGGCTGGATTACGGACTGTACAATACGTTGAATACTAAGACTAACTATTATAAATCAATAACAGTAAATAAATAAAACAAAGGAACAAAGATACTACGTCATAAAATTTAAGAAAATAGCCGCGAATTTACAATAAAACCATTAGAAAATAGCCGCGTTATGCACATGATAAAACTATTCATTAGTCTATTATTTTGTTCTACAAAGAGGCACGTTAAAAGCGCGCTTTCTCCTTAAGGCTACAGTACTAAGATTACGTGGCGGCAAAAGGCCATGTAATTTGTGGAGGCTGTTGTCCTTAATCTCATTGAATAGGCGCTCTGTCAGCCATTCGTGCCGTTGATGGAGGGTGGTAATATTGCACTCTTTGAGAGCCTCTTGATAGTCTAAATCTGAGAAAATAATTCTAAGTGCACGGCGCTGAATTTTCTCTAGCTCTTCAGAGAGATACTCAGGCAGACCATTGTGGAAAACTTGGCAGGCATATTCAGACATGGGCCGGATACACGTAGTATAGAAACAAAGTAGCTGCGCAGGATCTCCTTTTGCATGCTTAAGCTTCCTTAATAGATATAGCCTAGAGGCTCCTTTTTTGATAACATTCTCTATGTGAGCGTTCCACTTTAGATTGTTTGAAATTGTGAGACCAAGAAGTTTTACGCTAGTTACAACCTCAATTGGTTTGTTGTTAATAGTAACTGCTTCGAAAGGATCTACAGACCTTGAGAGACTTATCTGCAACTCTTTACACTTGGTCTCATTCAATTGGAACTTATCTATTTCGGCTTGCCTAACTAGGTCGTCTACAGCAAATTGGATTCCACTTGGTTGGCCCTTGTGGACTGTCTCGGCCATCGATGTGTCATCGACGTACTTCCAAAGGTTGACGCCATTGACATTGATGTCATTTATCATTACCAGGAAGAGCCAGGGCCCCAATTTGGTTCCCTGAGGGACACCAGCCCTGACAGATCCCCAATCCGAGTAGCAATCATGGGCGAGTTTCACTCGTTGCTTCCTGTCAGTAAGAAAATCTGCAATCCAGTCCAGCAGCCAAGGTGGTAGCTCATAGTCAGTAAGTTTAGCCATAAGAATGGCGTGGTCGATGAGATCGAATGCTTTCCTAAAGTCAAAGAGCACCACGCGCACTGTAGAACCGTTGCCGTCAGTATTCTTATACCAGTTGTGGAGCATGCTGATTAGGGCATGCACTGTGCTGGAGTTCAGAACAGTTCCATATTGGTTCTGGTCAATCTTCGCAAGGACGGCAGGCTTGATGTAGCCGTCAACGACAAACTCTTCCCCGACTTTGGAGAGAATTGGAGTCAACGAAATGGGTCTCAATATCAGAGATTTTCCCTGACACTTAAAAAATTCCCTGACTTTTCCGTGACAGTGGCAACCCTGGCCTATTTGAAGTTCAATATGTAACCCTTTCGAGGCTATGCCCTGGCAGCGCTCAGTGGCCCCTAACTCCTGCTCCTGGGTGACCACAAAATCTTAGCTTTTTCATAGAAATCTTTCACTGGGAACACTGGATTTCACAGGTTCAGAGCGCTGGGCTTACAGATAGCTGGCTGCCCGCTATTTCACCAGCTGAAATAGAGCTTACCACCAGCTCTAACTGCAAACGAAAACAAAGGCATATGGGAATTTTAAAGATGCAGTTGAGTAAAAAAGCCACCTTGCCTAATACAAAAGCCTGCTTATCGTTTCCTTAGCTACATCCCCGTGAGCCCCTTTCTATTTTTCTCTTAGCACAGCCTTGCTTATCATACCTCTACATTCTCATGGCAGGTTGCTGCAGCTGATGTTTTGATTGACTTTGGTTTGACTGTCACAGACGGGGCAATTTCATTGATCTGCCAAGTTGGCACTGAAATATGAAGTTGAAAGGGATTCAATAATTTGTTTGAATCACAGTTTGATTTAGAATGTTCTCAATCAATTTTAATTTCAGGTGTTTATTATAACTATAAATAAATATTATGGTGGATCATTGGTCAGTATCTCTGTTAAGCAAACTTGTGTTGTTTGAAAAACATAGATGCAAAGGTCACCAGACAGTATCAGGCTTAAAATGTTAACTTAAACAAGCATACTTTTGTTAACAAAATAATCTGATTATGTTTTTCTGGTACATAGCCATGCTTAGATGCCAAAATTGATGGTAAAATTTTTTACACCAAGCGGGGTCAATAAACGCTAGCATGTTTAACATGCACAAACTATTTTGAATGCTTCAGAGTTACTTAAAATCATCTCAAAAATGGCTCAAAATAGCTCAAAAATTGAAGTAGGTTTGAGTGTAGTAACTGACTGTATAAATAAGGGACTGCTATTCCCCTTCTTCTAGGGGGTGGGGATTTGGGGGCAGGCTCCCCCACAAAAGTTTGAAATTTTGAAATTTTAAAATGTGATTTGCAGCACAACTGGACACGTTTTCCATTCAAGACTAGAAACTGTAGCCTTTTTTTTAATTCAAGTTTCGATTTATCAGCCACACAATCAACTACGACCCTTCAAGCAATGAACAAATGACTAGAATTAAATTCCATACATTTTTTGATCTTCTGTGCATATTGAGACCCGTAAACACCATATGAAAGTGCAGGATACAAGACTGTAAAGTTTTTACTTATTATAATGGATGGTTTTTAGGATTTTAGGATTTAACCAACTTAGCAACTGCTACAGCATAAACTACATCACCTTGTACATGACTTTGGCTCTTCTCGGCAACAGGCTTTACAGGAATCTTCTTAGAAAGTTCAACTGAGTCATTGTGAAGATAAAGCATCTCAGTTCTCAAATGAGTATCATAGCTAATGTCTTCACACATGTGTGATGTCATGGTTACAGATGCAGTGGCTGGAACTCGCTTGGCTCGCACCATTTGCTCCACAGATAGACGGCGACTGTGACATTTGAAAACAAAGCAGATAAGTAATATTATTATAAAACAATATTATTTAACATGCAAATCCTTATGCAAATACCATTTACTGCTGTACTGAATTAAATCCAGAGTAGATATTGTATTTTTTCTATACCCTACCTGGATGATTAAAAAAATTATAATGCTCAAATACCTATGTAATATCTTACACTATGCTTTTCTTTGAAGAGTAGAAAAAATTTTCCATACCTTAAAATACTTAAGACATTTTAAGTGAGCACTTCTCTGCTGTACCCTACCTGACCCCTCCTCACACTGCACTGTGCTGCTCGAGTTTCATAAAATTAAGACATGTTTTGTAGGGTATCTTTACCTTTTAGGAGTTGCTGGTTTTAATTGTCTTTCTTCAAGGAGATCATCATAGCCTTCACTTGCATCCCTTCTTTTCTTTACAGCCATTCTTCTCTCCAATCGGTGCATCCGAGATTCCAACTACATCAAACACAGAGAGAATTAACATACACTGAACTGGGGCAATTTGGGGTTATGCTGACATTTTCAAACTATTACAAAGTCAAAGCAGGACAAGTGTTCCCTTCGCTACTGTTTTTTTGAAGAACGACACTTTCCACTAGTCGACCTCAGAATTTTGTTTTTTCTTCCTTTTTTCTAAGAGTCAAGTGAGGGCGAGTTCCTAAGTTCAAACCCAAACGAACCATTACATGTATGCTATTTGGCTGCCAGTGATAAGTGCAACAGACCTGACATCTTAGAAAACATGATGGTCAAACTGAGGTCAGTGTATGCGCAGTGATTGGTGGATTTCGATCCTTGGCCTTGGTCAGTTTTTTCTGCATTTGCCGTCTGTCTATTCTAGCTGTTATTTTGATTAAACACAATGAAAATGCAAACATAAACGGTAGGAAAAGGGAAGCAAATATGATTGAACACAACAGACAAGAATAAAGAACAGGTATATTTGTTCATAAACCAAATCAACCCTAAATTTACTATCGAATCGAGGTCCAATTTGACTATAGGAATATTCATTTTATGAATCGATGGAGTATTGAATCCACAAACCCAATCACTTTTCCATTCATGAATTTATTAGTCCACTAGCGACAGGAACGCTTGACATGCTTTACTGTAATAAAAAGCTGAGAATAGATGTCATGTCAAATTACAGAAAAAAAGTGAAATTTATTGGAGATCTTTAATCTATTGGAAATAGCTAAAACAGAGAGAAAAAGAAAAAAGTAGCCTCTCCAAGGCCTAGTTCAGATGTTGCATTGTGTTGAATCCGATGCAAATAAATCACAAAACTTTATTTTACATGAAAGTCGATAAATTACAAGTACAGACTACCTGTAAATAGCGAAGCTATTCGAAGCAGATTTTCTTCATTAGGGATAAATACTGAGTAGATTTTCTATCCATCAGAAGAAAATGTAATTGACGCTTATTTCTTTAAATATAACAGTAGAACTAACAGAGAATATCAGTGGGAGGGGGGTACTGAAAGGAAGTTTGGGTGGGGGTGCACCACCAAAGCCTTCAAGCCCTACCCTGCTTAAAACAAGTCAAAATCTGTCTATATCACCACATTCTTTAAGAAAAAAGACCTGCTTTACATGGCCCAAATTTAACATTTTCTCATTTCTTTGATTTGGAGTTAAGGAGCTTTTCACGGTTCAAGGCATCTAGTCCAGAGAGATAACCCGTTCAAGACACTTAAAAGTGACATTGTATACCCTGTTTAAGACTAAAGACCTTGAAAACCATACACTGTTTGGTGGCACATACCTGTCTAGGCCTAAAAGGGAGTGCCCCTCCCCCCACCCATTCATTCCAGAGGCACATTAAGACTGATCAAAAGATACAAACACTGATTGATGTTAGTCTAAGAAATAGTTTAAGAATGTTTGTTTTGCTTTTTCTACTTCTTGTTTATACTGTTACTGTTGCTTTTGTTTGTTTGTTTGTTTTTTATTATCAACAAAGAAAACAAAAATGACAAATGATTTTGCCTTTATCTGACTGCCCCTAATTTCTACTGGGGATGTACTTGATTATAGTTGGTTTTAAGAAGAATCCTCAAGGGAGACTAAAATCCTTCACTGATCCTTTGAATTTGCTGGTATAATGTACTAAAGAGAGACAAGTCAGACTTAAATCTAACCATTGATAAGACGTTTTCTTTCTTTTTGAGAAGAGAGGGGAGAAAAAAAAACATCAAACCTAATCTTCAGCCAAAAAAACAGAACTGTTCCCAATGTATTGTGTCTGGACCAATCAGAAAGTGCTCCACATTACACATGAACTGGTTGTTAAATGTATCATAGCCTCCTTTCCACAACAGACATAAAAGAGATATAGGGAGGACATGCATGATCCCAGGCTAACTTAAAATCTGACATTAGGTTTGAGTGTGAACTTTTCTACTGAGCCCAGTAAGTGCCATGAAAAAATTGTGTTTGATTTTTCCTTTCTAGACTTTTTTCTTGCCTTTAAGTTTTTATCCCAACTTTTTTCTCAACTCTTTTCTCAACTTTTTTTGTCAACTTTTTTCCTGACTTTTTCCCCAACCTATTTCCCCACTTTTCTCTCTACTTTTTTCACAAAATGTTCCCGACTTTTTCTTGACTTCTTTCCCTACTGATCACGGGACAAAAACGTGGAGAAAGGAAACATCGAGCATAAAATTTGTCTGGCACTTACTGGGCACTGTACCCTTCGGAGTTGCAATGTGTGTTTGTCAGTTTGTCAGCTACAAATTTATAAGCAACATTCATTAAAAGACACCTCATTTTAAAAGTCCATTTTACATGTACAGGTGGAAACTACATTATTTTGTAAATCATGTCATCCTTGTGCTAACAGGCATTTTTTAAGCATAATTTCCATAAGAAAAGGAAAGAGGTTTGTATCAAAACAAGGTCAACCTCAGCTTCATACCCAGATCTCTTGTTGACAAAGCCAAAGCCTATTCACATTTATGGGACTGTCATAATGTGCAATTCTTGCCTTGATGGCAAAAATTTATCAAGAACTCACAATATAATTATATGCCAGTTGATTATGTACTACTCATTAACCGAGAGTGAGGTCATTACAAGGAAATCTCAGACCGAGACCTTAACTCAGTTCAAAGCTCTGAGTACTTCAAAGAAGTTAAAAAATAGGCAAGGGAAAGTCAATCACTGCCTTGCTATGGCTTTAACTGTTACAAAATCATGGAAGAGTTTGGGGAAGTTTTTAATTTGGGGTGAAATGTTGAAAATTGTCTTTTTGTATCCACTTGGATTCTGGTTTTTGGTCTGTAAATGTTAACAAGACTTCTCAAACATAAATACGCCCCAAAATAAAGAGAGGGAGTTTAAAATCGCTGTTTGGTAAAATACGAATACATTAAAACGTAATTTATGCCATGTGATCAATAATAGGCGCCATGTTTGAATTTTCAAGGGTGCCGCCGCTGACCTCTCAGAATTAAATTAATGCGTCTCTGTCCGAGTGTTTTCATGCAACAGGGAAAATATGACCCTTGAAGAAAGTAAAACTTAAACCTCCCGAAGACATGAAAATGGCCCTAACCCTTCCCCTACCTGTTCTTTGTCCAATTTAAGCTGATTAATCTCCTTATCTTTTTTCTGTATTTCTTCTTGCTGCTGTTGAATGAGTTCTAAGTGCAGCAATAAAAGCTGACGTAAGTGAGCTGCTTGGCTCGCGTCGGTTTTGTGGTTGGAATAATCGTTACTGACTTCTGCCTCCGGTAACTTCGATAACGGAATATTGCCCGTTTCTTGAGGCTCTTCCTTCTGTATGTCGTTGTTGCTGTTGGTATTTTTCACGGCAGTGGACGATTTCGAGCGCAAGACCCGCGTAAATTGCCGTTCGGATCGGGCGCTCGAGGAGGATGTCGGCGGTTTGTTTCCAACAAAAGGCACGTCAGATTTCACTTGAGTTTGATCCATGTTTCCACCTGAGGGTAAATCCGTAGACATAACCATTTGGTAAATTTTGGCCCACGTTCTCTCGAACACTGCTCTAAAACTGTTACGTCTCATCCGCGATTCCGTTCAATCGCGGCCATGACGGCCGCTCACGGTCTTATCCATGTGACATCAACATGGCGAATAACATGAATGTGAGGCGATTGGGGTCTCTCGGGAAATGTTCGTTTCCGGTCGACCTAAAAATGCTTCTCAATTCTCCTCTGAAAAAGAGATAAACGTTTGGTCTTTCGACGCTTTCGATTTCGAAGGCAACAAGCTGACGAAATGGCTGCGAACCTCAATGCTTACGGCATATGAAATCTGTTCAATCGCTTCGGGGTGGGGTGGGGAGACTCGGGCTTTATGCCGGGGCTTGACACAAAGATCTGATTAAACGTTTGACTTGAAAGAAAAAGGGAAGAGAGGCAAGATGTAAAAAAGGACACAACTTTTTTATGCCTAAACCTTAGTAGAAGGGGAGTGAGATGTTGCATGCTCGTGCTCTGAGCCTAGAGAGTGGTGAAAAAACTGAGGAGGGAGGGGTGAATGGAGGCTCTTATGAACGAGCCAAGGCTATAAACAAGAAAAAAAGGAGCGAAAAAATGTACACAAAGCGCGAAAACCACAAACGATTAAAATTCACATCAAGAAATTAGGATCCAAGCACGTACAGTGGAATCCGGTTCATACGGTCACCAATGGGCCAAAAAAACTTTGGCTGCTTAACGGGTGACCTTATTACGAGGGTTTTTAGCAAGAAAATGTATGGCCGTTTTGCCAGGCAGCCAAAAAAGTGGTGGCTGTAATAACGAGCTGACTGTATTACCGAGGTGGCCGTAAGGCGGGGTTCCACTTGTTTTTTTGTTTTGTTTTGTTTTTTTTTTGCGGTAGGTCACGCTATCTGAATAAGCCCGTAGGCGGGAGAATATGGTCACATCATCAACTGATTTGTCTGCATAGTTGTTGCGCCTCGAAAGTCCCGAAACTGTGCGGGGGTTTCTGTCCTGGGGGTAACTCCCCTAAATCGCTTATACGGGTATGTGAAATCGTCACTGGAGCGTTTTTTTTTTTAACCTCTGTCCTAAACAGGGTCAGCTCCTGACAGGGTATAAATTTGTGCCGGTCTATCCTAATTTTATCAGGATGAAATTTGCTTGTACTGTAAGTATACAAAGCCACTGACTACGTGAATTTGATCTATTGCAATTGCCAATAAATGGCTCTAAACAGGAGCCCTGTCGTGAACCCCTCGGGCCGGGGTCTCCGTACGGAATATATTGTTTCTGAGGAATCTACAGGTTACCGGCAGGAAAAAATAATAATTTCCCGGGAAAGTTAGTTTGTTGCATCTTCCTGAATTTGTATCTGCTTCGCTTTCAAAACTGACAATTTTTTTCACTCTTGTTTCACTCTACCATAGACTTGCCAACAAGTCGAGCTCAGATTTTTTCACGAGCGCGAAGCGCGAGCGGTAGATTTTTTATGTTTTCGGCGGCAGAAGGACTCCGGCAGAAGCGAGCTGTGGACAACTACCGGAACCGGAAATAAGAAGCGACCCATTCCCCTACCCGAGGAATGGACAGTAAATTTGATTTGAAGGTCAGCGGCACAAATGAGCGGAAGTCCACTCATCGCTGACAGTCCCCATCGCTGTCACCCATTGCTAATTTTTCCGCTTTGTCTTGATTGCAATTTGGTGTCTTTGGTGGGAGTGTATTTGCGGAATAATCGTCCACGACAGTTCTCCTCGGTACACATTTTTATTGAAAGAAAACAAGAACCACTGTACAAAGCAATTTACGCCAATCGTCGTCCACAGAGGAAAGTCATTTTGATTTCAGTCACGTAGAAGACTTGAACTCAAGACAGCTGGAAAGGTGAAGGTCTTTCATTTTACAAAACCCGATACGACGCGTTCCGTGCAGCTTAAAGCGCTTGCAAATGGCCTGCGCTTAATTCTACGCGGACAGACGAGCAATTTTACAGAAGCAAGAGTTTAAGAGCTGAATGAAAACTATATTAATGTGTCGATCGCTTCAGCTTTGCAGCCAATGTATTATTGCAACCTGCTTTTATAAAAGTGTGGTCGCTGGTTTACGTAGTTCAACTTGATAACTTTGATTGGTAATTCAAATCTTTCATCGAGGGATCCTAGGTCACTGACAAAAATCAACTTTCTTCTTTCCATCTTTTACTTAAGACTTAATTTCATCTCATGTTAATATATTGCATTTTTGGCTTTTATAGAGCTGGAAGGTTTGGAAAATAAAACAATGTTTAAATGATAGGTTTCAATAAGCTCATAGTGATCCCGAACAATAAAAGCTAGGGGTAGCATGAGATGTAATTTGCTGATTTTGGTAACACTTAGAATGCTCAGGATGGAACACCAACGTTTTATTTTGATGGACAAGTAATGGCCAAGTTCATGACACACTTTTCGATTAAAGGCATCTCCCATAATGGGTACGAAATATCTATTCACCATTTTTGCATATCAGTTTTCTACCCTTTGGGGTGGGGAAGGGGGTGTATGTGCCACTCAACAGGGTACAGTTTTCACTTTTTGACTCTGGAAAAGGGTGTGAAAATCACCCTTCATCTCTGGAAGAGGGGAAAATGTTACTTCAGCATGACTCCAGAACAAAAATTATTCAATTTTTTTTGCATAATGTTATCCCTGACTATTCTGATTAAGCTTTGATGCAAAACTATGCTGCCTTCATCACCCAAGTAAGTTCTTCTTGCATAAGCTATAATATGTACCTTTTTTTCCCGTATTGCCTGAAGAAGGATTTCTATTATCTCAAGCAGGGGCACAACTTCAGATCTCTCTTTGTCTGGAAAAGGTCTAGAGGCTTTAAGTCTCAGCATCTGCCCCCCAACACCCCCACTCCGTAGTAAATTTCAGAGAATACCCCTATGGGACATTACAGTCTTCCCACAAGAACTTGAAAACAGTGCTTATGCAATAATTAATTTGGTGGACAAGCGTCACTGGTCTGTTATGGGCAATGTGAAAGTAATGAATCATTATTCCAAGCTGTTCCTCTATGATAGCTATAATAATTCCATTTCCCAGTGTGTCTTAAAATGTGTGTCTTATATGTCTTAAAACGTATGGGTACATGTATGTAGCATCGTCACAATGCCTGTCTCCAATAGATTTTGTTTAATATAGGTAGTGTGTACGTATTATGCATTTCTTTGCTGTAAAAAAATATGCTGTTGCTGATGCTGTCTTCCTTTAGTGTTCAATCCCCTGGAGGCATTTTTTCTTTTTCTTTTCTTTTTTTTTTTTTTACAAAAGTCCACTTGTTTTACAGATATTTAAGGGTAGTTGTCTACGATGAAAAAATATATAGCAACGCTTCACCTCCCAGCCTGAGAAAACAGCCATTATTTTGTGATGCTACCATTGGTTTCCCCTGGAAATGTCAAACAAGTGGTGGCGTTGCAAAATACCGGCAGATTTCTCAGGCTACCAATCCCAGTCCCTCCCATAGTATATGTTATTATCATGGCTGAAGATATATTTCTTTCTCAGTTTTTTTTAAACAGATCCATTGTACAATCCATTGAGTTTGAATTGGTAGGATCCTAGCAACATAGTCACTGTAGTGATAAATGCCAAGATGTCAGAAATTGTGGAGTGTATATCCTGGATTGTTTCAAAGACCTGTTGGAGTTTGGGAGTATTTGCACTTTTTGTCGCTAAACGGATGGCTGACTTGTTTGGATTAATGTTTAACATCCTTGCATGTCTGACCATTGTGCGGCTGCCATGCATGTGCATGCAATTCAGCAACATGGACTCGTGGTGGGACTGGAGGGTAAAGGGCTTTGTTCATTTTGCATTTTTCCTAATTGACATCCCATTTATTCTGATGGGTTTGTTTATGATTTTCATAACCTGCGGGCTTATTCTTATTCCATTCTTCAATGACATGAAACAGGAAAATATTTCATTTAGTACACTTAAAGGACCAGACCATGGAATATATTGTTTGAATGCATTTCAGCTTCATTTATTAGTTGGCTTATATTTTTTCCGCTTTATCTGTGATGTCCTCTGCATACCATTGGCAGTCATTTGTGTGCTCTCTTGGAGAAGCTGCATTTTTATTAACAAACTTGGAAAGAAGAACTATTCCTGGAGTGACTGGGGATGGAGAAAGCTCTGTGTTGTGCAATGTCTGCAACTTCTGCTTGACATTCCTTGCATTTTTATTGGCTTCATGGTCATGATCACTTGGCGTGCCCCATTTCTGATCAAAAGAGTCAAAGAACGAAGAGATGAAGATGATGAAAAGTGGAACCACTGGAGGTTTGAAGTTTTTCCAGAATTCTTTTACATTTTTGTTGACTTAGTTTGCATAATCTGCCTGCTTTTCACTATGTTAACTTGGAGAGCACCTCTGCTGATAAACAAACTACGCCATGCCCCAAAAAAGCAATGGAAGATACGAGAAATCATGGTCACCCAACTGTTGTTGGTATTCGTCGACCTGCCATGTATTTTTTGTGCCTTGATTGTGTTTATTACTGTATGGAGAATTCCAAACTTTATCAGAAACTGGGAACAAGATGAATGGAAAATTCGAGCCAATTGTATTTGTCAAGTGGGAATGCTCTTCATTGACTTTGGCTGTTTATTACTCAGTTTTATTGTCATTTTAACCCTTTGGAGACTCTATCCATTAATTTGTGACATAAGAAAATACTGGTCAAGACCAAAACAAGAAAGGTCGTGGAAAATACGAAAATCTATATGCAAGAATGTCGCATTCCTATTTGTTGACATACCAGCCATTTTTCTTTGCTTCATCATTTTAGTAACAGTTTTTCGCTTCCCAAAGCTGCTGTCCAAACTTTTTCAAGCTGGTAATTTCTTCATGGAGTTTGCTATTACAGTATTCTTTGAATTTGCCATGTTGGTTGTGGATATCTTCTTCGTGTTTTTGTTTTTGGTGTTAATGTGCCTCAGGCCAATCGAGAGCTGGGTTCATCTTCTTGAAGATGAGGAGCATAGAAAGAACCGTCTTCTGAAACATTACATCCAGTGGGTCCCTGATATCATTGACAAGCGCTTCAAGGTGCGAAGAGAAATGGAAGGAATTTTCTCAACGTGCTTGAAAAATAACTTGGGAGAACGTAAGCTTCGAGAACACCTGATCGAAATCAGTGACGACTACTTGGATGAACTGGAATGGATTCGGCAGAAAATTAAGAAATATGAGCTTGATGAAGGATTCAGTCACTTGATTAATATGGCAAAGTGGTGGGAGAAAAAGCGTATCAATAAACTAGTGCGACTGTATAGATGTGAGATGAATTTTTTGGCCCGCCCCAACATTTCCATCCACAATTCCAACCTCTCCAAATACAGAAACGAGATGATCCTGTTTGAGAGTCACGTGACTATGCAGTATCGCGAAATTGAAAAATACGCCATTCCAAAAGTACCGCTGTGGAGTGAGGAATGCGGGCTCAAGACGCGAACGCGCAAAGAAACTCAGCAAGTTTTGGTCAAGTGTCTTCCCAGCGGACGGTTCGTGATTTCAGTGCTGATACTGCTGAACCTGATTTTGATTTACCGCGGTCCCAGCTTATTGAAGAACCTCTGTCGCCGGTGGTACGATCGCAAAAAAATAGTCTATGATTCCTGCAAAGAATACCTTTATGATTTCATCACCGTTTGCAGAATCTTACTGGTAATCGTCTTTCTGTACCGTGCGCCTTTCTTAATCACCGACATCACCAGGGACATATTTTTTAAACAGAGCTGGCGAGCTGTGCGGGAAACAGTGAAGAAGTACCCCGCCTTAATTTTAGAAGACATCGTTGACCTCATAAGCTGTATTTTCAGCTGGGAAAGCGTTCGTTTTCTGTTTACGGCGCTTCTGTTTGGTCTTCTAATGCCCGCGGATCTGTTCTTAACGATCATGAAATTTATATTTTCCAAGAATTGCGCATATTTCCTCACAGCCGTCTTGTACATCATCTTCTTGGCGTTTCCCTTTCTTCTTCCATTTTATATCAGTGGGAAACTTGATCCAAACCTTGTCACTATTGTCATCGGCGTATTTGCGTTCTTCCTCCTGTTGGCTTTGATCGGCATGGTGGTTGTTTTACTCAAGAAAGAGGCTTTGCTCAACAGAAGGGATGATGCCCCTATCAGAAGGGATGATGCCTCTATCAGAAGGGATGGTGCGCGTAACAGAAGAGATGAACCGGGACTGTTAATCAAGCCTACCCCTTATGATTACATCCGCTTTAACTGGACAAACATTCACGTGATCGCAATGGAAGTCGTTGAATTTTTGCAGTTGCTGGCGCTGGTATTTGCTGTAAGTGACATTCCCATGTTGGGTGCCAAGACCTTAAACACTGCGTCCCAGTACTTGTTACTTAATTTTGCCTCGTTCGATGTGAAGCTTTGGCTTTCGTTCATTATATTCGTTATCTGGTTCTTCTGTTGTGGTGCGCCCGTGATTCTTGAGAACGTTTTGGAGTATCTACCCAAGGGATCATGCGCAAAGCATGTTGGATGGACTCTATTTCTGTCCTTATTCGCCAACACCTTATTTGTGACAATTGTGGAGAGTTTTTTGGCATTTGTTGCATGCAAGACACAAGACTGTCCCACAATCAACGTCACGGTGACTACCAATGCAAGTCAAAATAGCTGCTTTCCCGCCGTCCTCTACGAGGACGAGACTATAGAATGCTGGGAAGGAAATCACAGAGCAATCGCCTTTCTTGGCCTGCTGGGATTGGTTTGGTACTCCACTACAGCCATCATATTCGGAACCAAATACGGTGATGTGACTCATCCGAGTCAGGATCTTGAATTTTCCCCTGTCTACAACATCTTTTTGAATTTTGCCAAAGCAGTGATGGTAGGAGTAGTTGTTTTGGCCATGGCTAAGCCCTATGTTGTGTTGTCTTTCCTAGTCTTGGCTAACCTGGCTGCAATAATTTTTACCCTGGCTTTCAGAAAAATATTTCATTTTGATCTTTCTAATTCCTTTGTTTTGATTATTTGGCGTACTGTAACCTTTATCTGTGCTTGCGTCGCTGCGGTTTCTGCCGTTGTGGCCAAACAAAGGAATGATCCCGACTCTTTTGTTCCTCTTGGGATTTTTCTCGGCGGGTGTGGCGTGGTTATTATTATCGCTCTGATTGTGTCAATTGTCTTGAGAAAGCCAAGAACTCCTGTGGAAAATCAAAGACGGATGTTTCGTCAAGACTTGCTGGCGCTTGAAGCCAAACTTGTGAAAGAAAATTTCATGATCAATTCTTGGACAAAAAGCCGCGCGCAGTGGAAAAGACTGGTCAAAAATGTCTACGAAGCACAAAAGAATGACCGTGGGATATCCCCTTCGGTCTGGTCACACCTTGAAATTTCACCTCCACCACCACCCCAAGAGGAAAGACGCATACCAGACGCAGAGCCGAGTACATCAGCTCCTCTTCCCCCTCCACCGGCGTATGATGATTTGTTTCCTAACATCATGGGACCCTATGGTATTCCACCTCCACCCTATACCACAGAGAGCGATGACGTTTCGATAGGAATAGCTGAAACTGAGCAAGCGCCCGCACCTCCTCTCCCTCAGGCCACAGGAAAACAGCCTAAAGAACAACCGGCTATTTCTGATGGCAACTCGACGAAGATATCATTCACAAATGACACGAGTAGCCTGGACTCTATGGAACAAGTGCCTGAAGTTTCGTTGCCTTTCCCGCCATACCCATTGGAATATCGGGTGAGAATAAGATGTACCTTACGTAGCTTACATAGCGTATGAGATATAGGTTAAACATAAAATATGCGACCTGAGACAAGAGCGAGGAAAAAAGTGAATAATATACTTTGATGAAAGCACAGGTAATCCAAGCTCTATGAGTCTGTTGACCTTTGTAACGTAATCTCTGAGCACCGTGATGACATTTCACAATAACGAAAATGTAAGGATTTGCATGGGGAAATGATATGGGATTCTCCTGGTAAAATTAAGGTTAACTTTACCATCATTATTTTTCAATAAATATCGCTTACCTTGAGTCCTTTCTTTGTCTTTTTGTGTTTTCTATCGGTGTAACAGCGGTTGGAACTGAATCCTTGTGAAATGGCCCCAGATCGACCCGAAATCAGCCGGAATGTCATCTCGGCGCTAAGAGATTACGGATACTCGTAGAGCTTGGGCTACCTGTGCTGAAAGAAGTGATAAATCAGGTTGCAGCAAATTGTCTGAATTACTGACTTCTGATTGGACACAATTACGCGGGAGTCACGCCATACATGGGCGTTACTTCACGTGCTGCAAAACTAGCTAGTTTGCGCTGGTCCGGTAAAACTCCCAACATGTACAGATTTTGTTGCAATAAGTAGAACTATTCTCTACATTCTGCAACAACTTTTCGCAAACTGCAACAACCTGATTTGTTGCAAGACATGTAATGCTGAGGTCAAACGCAAGAGTTGAAATTCAGTAGTGTAGGCCCGGATAATTAAATGTCCAACAAAGCCAAAAAACTGGGTTTTTCCTACCTTTTTTAGCATCACTCTAGACTACTAAATTTCAATACAAAGGCGAAGTTTTGTGGAAGGTAAGGCGGAGGACGAACGATAGGTTCGCAGCTACAGGAAGCACACACTGAATGGCAGGCCACATATCTACATCTACATCTACAACTTTAATCTTTTACGGTTTCCCATTACTAGGTATTGTCTGCTATAGCTCACAGCATTGACATAGTAAGTAACAAAGTCAAAATGGATCAGTATTGAACAATACCTTGTGTTCCTTGTCAAATTAGAGTCACGAGAAACTAAGAAAGTTTTCCAATCTTCCGTTTTCTTGAATTAAAGCAGAACTTGCTCTCATCGTTTTAGGCTTGTGTTTTATTATCATTATTATCATCATCGTCATCATTCATATTATTATTGTCTAGTGTACTTTTTTAGGTTTCTTCTAAAGAATGTCACCAAAAAAGCATTTTTCTTGCTTTCTTTTCAGGACGCCTTTTCGGCTGCCATAGCTGAAGACAGGGAAGACTGGAAACTATGGGATATCAACAACATGGAGTGTAACGGAACAACCCTTTTGCTAGTGCTGGAAAGATACATCCACTACTCTGCCTTCTCGTTTTCGTTCATCGCTCAACTGCCTCTGTGGCGTTCGTCTGTGGCGCAGTGCGACTGGACGGGCCTGTTACACTGTCTTGAGGTCCTAGAAACGAACCTGACTGGATCATTTAACAACCCTTCCCAAGCTGACATGTCATTGGGTAACAAGGATGTACCTTTTCTTAAGCTAGAGCCGGATATCGATACTGAAGAGCCTCCAGTTTATGTCCCTGAGTCACGTGATCCCGAAGTGATCCGAGCGCTGTCCGACGAAGAACGAACGCGAGCGCTTAACGACGTTAAAGCGGTCGGCGAGTTCGGCGAACAGTGGGCAGAACTTTTGGACAAAGTGCTCCCCACGAAACCAGTCATACGGATGTGGCGCTGGGATGAAGAGCTGAAAATGTTCCATGTTTATCTGCGTAGGCCCATTCAGGGTGTTATAACAGAGTTGGGACCAAGAGGAGTAAAGATGGCGAGAGGAGCTGCCATTGCACTACCAAAGCACATTCAAGGGAGGTTTTTAGGTGCTCGCATTACTTTTGACAAAGGATTTGAACCTAAAGGCAAAAAAGGTCCTGTTAGCGTGGCGGTGACAGATCTTGGGTTGATGAAAACTGAGGACAAGATGTACGTAACAGCTCAGGGAAAGAAGCTTCCATACGACAAAGCTCTAGATAGCATGAAAACGGTGACTTGGAAATAAACTGGGTATGTGCACTGCAAACGGGAGTCTCTTCAGGAGATGGGAAAGAGAGAGACCCTGGGACTGAGTAAGGTCATCAGCCTGCATATCAAGCCATTCCTTTGTGCGGTATTTTTAGTTCCAGTTGTCCTTAGGGCTGCACATCCTGACTAAACAGACAATACATGAAAAATACATTGTTAAAATAGCTACTGAAATAATGTTTTGTACCCAGACAATTGTCGAAGAACTATAGAATTTGGGATAGAATTTGACTAAAGAGCTTCGTATGTTTAATTGTTCAAAGAGTTATTTATACTACGAGTAGTCCCCATTTTTCCTCAGGGATAGTAGAGCGAGGAATGATTTTCACGCGCTCTCGCGTTTCCCTCGCTCTACTATCCATGAGGAAAAATGGGGACTATTCGTAGCCTAAGTCTTAGTAGGCTGTCTTGTCCGATCGTCTAGTAGGGGTCATAGTCACTTGATAAACCGAGCGGAAGAAGTGGTCGCATTGATTGCGCCACGTAATATGAAGCGCCAGTCCTCAACTCATTATTAAGAACGCTTCTTTAGGGTGTGCACTAGCCTGTGCCAGGCTCTCAGATAGTATAGTGCGGACGTATTAAAACGAGCAGAGCGAAAATAAGACGCGCGCGACTTGGGAAAGGGGGCGGTGGCGGCGCGAAAGATGGGAGAGAGTTTCTCCCCAGCCCCCGCGCGTTTTTCGCATTTCTTTTTACACCTTATTACTGAACGACTTTTCACCACTATCTTGGAGCCTGGGACAGGCTACATTTGCACCACCTGGGTAATCATCAAATGCAAACCGATTTCATTTAATCAAGAACATTTATCATTGCGTTCATAATTTCCACTGAGTGGTTGTACGTAAATACTCGTAGTTAGATCTGATTGTTGCTATTAGTGAGTTTACGCAACAGGACGGCAGAAAGAAGAGGACGACAAAACGCTTGAGTGTGACAAACTTGCGTGTTTTGTCGGGAATTCACTTAACATTAGTGGCTCTGCTACAAAAAATGTGTTTAAAGGAAAGTTTCAGAGGTTTTGGCGGATTGTCACACAAGGTTCGCCGTCGTCTTTTCTCTTCCGTGCTGTTGCGTAAGTTCACTATTGTTTCGTTCTCAGAACGACATTTATTTCTCTGATGAAAGGGAATTTTTCAGTGTTATGGTAGAAGAAGACTTCAATATACTACTTAAACTAGTTATAGCTATCGCCAAGTGCCAACCAGCAAAGATTTTACCTATACACGTGCGCTGTTTAATTTGTTTAGAAATGTGTGAAATACAGTAATTGATGAAATAGATTGAATTTAATTCGAAATGCATTGAAAATAGACCAGAGTTAAAGCAAGGGGCACACATATACCAACCCATTGCCGGGCCAGTACCTCACGCATGCGTACAGCCATATCACGCGGGCAGTGGCAGCCACAGACAGCTGTTTCGCCCTTATTAGGGCCCACCAGCAAGGCAAAGCCGTTGGGTTAATGAACGGGGAAAACCCGCGGATCGAAAACCCCTTGAAATCCCGAGTTTACGCAGCAAATTTTTCGAGATCATTGAAGTTCGTGTGACTGTCCGAAGTTGAGCACAAGTCATTTTGCGTAAAATTTAGTGGTGTTATAAGCAAACTTTAAATCCTCAAAAAATCATATTAAAGTCCGCGAATATTCAACGTACAGACTTATGTTTGGTCTCTTTTTAAAGCCAAAAAAATCTATGGTGCGCCAATGAAACCTTCCGAATTATTTTGCTTCAAATACACAAAAAAATTCGCTGAGTTACTACTTTTCTTAGCGGCATGCAATAAAAAATTCCAGCGGGCAAATGCGACGGATATCGCGTAGGATGGAAATGATCCACCCGACGATTGGTTGAAGACGGGATGAGCACGGGACTCAAAAACACGCACACGACTCATGGAGTCTCTGATCTGTATCACTTGTTCGCTCGAAAACAATGTATTCTCTGTCCTGCATGGTTGCCTTACATTACCCTATGTTACATCGATTCAAGATTTTTTCTGCCCCTGGAACAATCCCGCACGGCTCTATTAGGCTGCTGCCTCGCAGCCTCGCGTCCTCGCAAGGCTGCTCGTTGGTAATAAACAATTCAATTCGTACAGGCACCCCTCATACTTATTCCGAAGAGACGGAATACGGACACTGAGGGGTCATAGAAAGTGTGTGTACGTGGTGTCCGTATTAACGCTTTAAGTACCAAGAGTGACCAAAGTCAATTTTCTCCCAACAAAATCAATACATAATCAAAGGAAAATGTTGTGAGACTCAATAAAATAATCACATGATGGGAAAAGCTTTGATCTGCTATCAAATTCTCTTAACCAATTCTTGCTGGAAATTTATGGAGATCAGTCTGGAGAGTTTGTATTTGTTTACTGGGGCTGGGTGAATTTAGAGAAAATGTAAGGGCTTTCTTTCCCCAGGTACAAAGCAAACTGTCCGTAATATTAACGACGTGTCCTTATTAATCAGGTTTTACTGTAATCTCAAGATGACGGCACAAAAATAACGTTTTAAAAGAAAGTTTACGATTTTAGTGCCCGGAATGATAAAAGCGCTGAAGGGAGCGTTTTTTTTTTTTTAATGTGTTTATCCTCCGCCTCCATAGAGTGGTATTATGCTCATTGTGCATTCATATTTTACCCAATACTAATGATTACTTTTGTGGTTTTCATATTCAAGTTTCAATCAGTAGACAACATCAATAATTCAATTAACAATGTGTATTTTTTCATTCGCTTTACCAATAACCGACACAAGTTGTTACATTCTTTATAGCGATACTTATTGCTTAAAAAAACATTGCCTTTTAATGTTAGCTTGATGTGTCAACAACTGAAACAAAAGAAACCGCTGTCTTCGTTAAAAGAGCGACCTGTGCATCCCTGGTTGACTCATTCACTAGATGACGTAAGCTAGAGTGACGAGAATCAATATACAAATAAATAAAACCTTAATCTCTGATATAGATAAACTCATTCTTGCGCTAATATTTAGATTTGAGGTTATTTTGGTCTAAAAAACTGGACGTAAAGTGTAGCCGTGTCTTTATCAGATATGAAGATATTCATTAAGCATTAATTTCTTTTGTTTTTTTCTATGTGAATTATTAATGAGTTTTTGAAGAGGAGTTATTTGTATTAACTTACTTATTTTTACACTGTTGTCAGCGGAACCTGCGAAAACATCCGTTTCTCCTCGCTCTTCGCCGCTGGGGACGTCCCCAGCGGCGAAGAGCGAGGAGAAACGGATGTTTTCGCAGGCTATTGTCAGCGCTGTGAGAAATCTTTCGCCTGTCAGCTCATTTTCCCTCATTGGCTCTATAATCTGTCTATGAGTCGGCCCTTTGGTCTATAAAAGGACTGACACGATGGCAATAAGTCATTCATTGGATTCATTAAAATTAAATCATTGGAAAGTGGCGTTTGAAAAAATTACATACGTATCTACTCGAATAAGCGCCAGCGGCATTTATTTGAAAGTCGGACACGACAAAGAACTGATTAAAGGACTGTTTAAAGTCAACTTATTTTTCGCATTAAACAGTTAGAGTAACAGAATTAGCGTCTTTTGATTTTGGTAGCATCGGGGCCTCTGCGCTTTTAATTTTTTTGTGGCAAATGCGGCGCGCATTTGAGTAACACGTGTAATATGCGGAAGAAAAGCAAATCTACCTAGAAGGTGGATGGGGACTACTGTATTTGGAAGAGAGTATTGTTTGTAACGAGCATCTATCTAATAAATAAATTGTCATATCCTGCAGACGTTTGCGAACATAGGAAATTACGCCAGAATATAGTCCTTAAAATAATAGTCAAGTCCAATGTGCTGTTATAAAACCCATGCTGCTCAGAGTAATGAGCTTGTAACCGAAGATGTGGAGCTTGATTGTTGTGTTTTAGCACATGACCCCTATTTGCAGGCTCGATTACCAGCCGCTGCCAAGTCGGGAAATGAAATACTCTTGCCCTCCAACATGGCAGCCAAAACTACTTGTCGCTTATATCTTGTTAAACGTTTAATAGTTACGCTCAGATGTGCTATAAACGTTGCCACATCATCTTTTTAACATTTTCCTTGAAGTTTAAGTGCAAAATTTGTGCACAAAGAGGTAATTCATAATTTTAAAAATCACATTTTGGTCACGTGACCAGCTACGAACTTACTCATTTTAAGAAAATGGTGCGGGTTTGAAAAAAACTAAATCACTATTATTTTGTTTAAGATATGACCCACTAATCGTTTTTCGAAGGCAAAATCATGTAACTTTCATTTTCATAAAAAACGATGTCACATGACCTCTTAGTGCAAATGGCCTATTGCCTGCAGGTGATATTTTTTTTTCGCAACAGACAGCAAAATAGTCAACTAATACGACAAAACACATGTAAACCAGAACAGAAGACAAACTACTGAACATCTGGTGCGAAGGCTGAAATTTGTTAAACTAAGCACACGTGAGCGCCACGCGTCAGAATGGCGTGTGGACACATATCAGGAGGCTAGGCCCAGTCCTAACGCTAGAAGCGTGTCAGATCAGTTTTTGAAACGATTCCTTAATAAATGAGGGGAAATCATTAGTTTATACCGGAATAGCCTTCTTAATGGCATGTCAATATAAAACGCGTCATCAAAGGAGATCAATTATATAAGAAGGCAACAAAATTAAAAGCAATTTAGATATTGCTTTCGCGATTTCTTCACAAAAACTAATCTCATACAATAAAGACTAATCAACCCGAGATTTCTGATATGAAACCACTACGTGTAAATGCTTTTGTTTCTGTCTTTTTCCCACACTTGTTGCCTATTGATACCAGCGTTGTTTTGAAATAATTGCTTCGGTTCGTTCAGTATACAGTGCGTTTTTGGCAAGGTATCCATTACATGATTATAGTATGTTAAACATGATTTGTTCTTGGAAAAAATTCGTTTTGGCTTCTTTATTCCCTAAATGTTGGATCATATATCAATATATGCCGGGCTTTGGTGACAATTCTAAGACTTGGATTAAATAAAAAGACGCTAATGTAGTTTTATTCACATATTTTATTCAGTTTTATATTTAAACATTTACAAGGTGCAGCTGATTATTCGCGCAGCGCAACTATCGCGGAGGTAAACAATGGACACACGCGTGATATCCGTTGATATCACTCGAAATCAAACAAGCGTGAACAATGTTGAAGTGAGCTAGACAAAAGAATACATTAGGTATGAGCCGAAAACAATCCCAGCTGAAATTGGCGACCGTTAAATCTCGTCAAACGAAATGAGGCGAAACTGATGTAAACTTTGTTGAACTCGCTGGAAAAAGTAGAATTCCGCCTAGAATTCCGAAGATTTATTCACTGCCTTTTTGTACAGGTATGAAGTTCCCTATTTGACGAAGAAAGACGCTCATTTCCTAGTTTGCTGTTCGCTTCCGGCGAGTGGGCAAGCCAGCCAACAAAAGAACCGAACTCAAACGCGTAGAAATCAGAAGTCCAGCAGAAGTTTATCCAATAGAATTAATAAATGGAGAAAGAAAATACAAGGTGAGTACAAATTTTCTTTGTTCTCTTTACGTCGAGATATTTCTCGTATAATGCAATATATTATTGTGTACGTTGCTACAGTTTAACGACCGGTGAATTTTCTTTATTTTGAAAGTTTTATTATTTGAATCAATGTAAACAGAATTTGCGCGTTGTTGCAAGGTGTTTCCTAAGTTTTGGGGTTTTTTGTAGGCTCAAAAATGTACAAAACTGAGGGTGACAGTATAGCAACTGGTGCTAAACAGAGACGAAATATTTCTACATGAAAATACGAGCTTAAATATATTTTGCTGATAGAAAGCTGACTTTAAAGCCGGGATACAATTCTTCTTGACGATTCATTCATTCATTGATTTATTCAAAGGCGACTAGGCTGATGTACTCAGAATTAAGCTGAATTTTTTCCAGATAAAAAACTGCTGACTTTCGACAGTCATTTTGTGCCAAGATTATTCCTCTGTGTTGTTTAAGAGTTCAAAGTTATTTTTGAAATATCTTAATATTCATAGCAATCGAATGTTTTCATCTTGAAGTAAATTCAAAATCCACAATTTACACTTCTTAAGCTGTCTTTGTTCTCATGTGTTATCTTCGCGTGGAATTACTCATTATAAATTCTAATCTCTGATGGGTGTTCTTTTTTTTCTTAGTACATTAAAGACTTATATATAAATTAAGTATGTTTCTGTTTAAAAATTTGCCTTAAGCTTGATCTTATAGTATCGATATATTTTGAATTTCACTGGTCACGCTTCGTGTTTTCGGAACAAAATTACGTCTGTCTAAAACCAAACTGGATACGGAAACCCTTACTAAGATCTTTAATCACCGCCGAATTGAAGTTTTTCGTAATTTCACTTCAGTCAACCAACTTTTAAACTCATACAGCGTGGCTTGAAAAACTGAAAATGTTATTCAAAATTTAGTCGATTTTATATCATGGATTTCAGTAATTTCAAGCCTCCTTTCCGGTCTCTCTCAAAATGTTTTCACAGTGGTGCCCTAGCGCGTCATGCGTCTATCTCCATGGCAGCGGGCGGAATCTATTCCTAAAGCTTTCCAGTTCAGATTCGTTTATACAAGCATAACGTACCTGATTCGTCCATGAAATTCTCATTGAAATGGTAGGTTAAACGTTAACCCTGGTTACGACAGAAACATATTTTGCCTTAGTTACTTATCACTACGCAATATGGCCATGTTGAAAGAGATCAGCTGATAAACACATGTATGTTCGGGCACTGACTATAGAGGAAAGCCATAACGCCGGCTCGAGAACCATTCAACAAAATGGGGCTGGCTCGACGTTCACACATAAGAACGTGTGATTTTGGCGCGATTTCTGTATAGGAAAAAGCTGCGCTGCGCCAATCTCTAAAATGGAGAGTCACATATCGGATAGCCGGGAGGTGTTTATACTATGTACAGGATGTTAGCTATTCATGCGCCGGCCCCAAAAGCTATATATCCTGTATAGCCTAAGTTTAAGTATTGTTCCCTTTTTAAGTCACAACTTTTATTACATCACTGAAACATACTCACATAAGTTTTAGAATTAATCCCAAAAAGAAAACGTAACTGGACTGAAACACGGTGTTAAATGGCGACACATCTTAGACAGGGGCACCCAACGGCAATTTTCGGGAAAATATCTGTTCGGAAGACGATGTGAGATCTAGAGTTTTCGGAGCATTTGTCGTAAAATTTCTTGCTTGCCTGCCTCTCCTAGGATTTTCGAACATCGACAAAATGGTATAATTACCCATTTTTAACGGATTTTGACCCTGAAAAAGGCCACCTAGAATTTTCGGGAGCCTTTTCCTGGCTGAAATTTTCGAGAAGGTAAGTTTTTATCCCTATAATTTTCGGATCACTAGACTTTCAGCTAGGAAATCCGAACAGATGAAAAGTTTTTAGGGGATAAAAATATGCCTATATTTACCGTTTGAATACTAAAATACGTTCAACAATGCTATGTTAAGTGGTTTTGAACTATATCCTCGTTGGGTGCCCCTGCTTAGACTGCAGCTGTGCACTAATAAGAAGCGCCCAACACAAAATTTTAACAACCCTGTTCTGCTCTTCTTGCGCTTATTCTTGACCTATGTACTTCTTAGATAAGCATAAAAGCATGCAAACAAGCACATTTGCCACTGAACCCCTTTTCCACCAAGTTACTAACTTATTCTGGGTGCCAACATCAGTAGCGCCATAATAATTGCTACCTTCCGCACCATGTGAAAAAAACCACCTGTTGCACACAGCACTGTAAACATAAAAAAACTGTTTGAATGCAGAGGTCCACGCAACGCGTAAATTTAACTGACTGGTTCCTCTTGCCGGATCTCTAATTAAAGAGATGTTGTAGCCCGACGTCACGTAAAGTGTAAAATAAAACAAATCTGGCCCTGAGGAAGGCTAATTTTTCGAAATTTTGTTAGCCGAAATATTGGCTTATAATAAAACAGCCTTATGCCGTAGTGCTAGCCCTGCATTCAGTTTTGTTTTACTGTAAACATCCTTGCGAATGTCCTTATGTTTGCGTCCTTAGTAACGAACAAGCTAAATTTCTAATCTAATAAGATACCGCAAGTTCAAGTGTACTTCTCTCCTTTGAGGTACACTGAATAGATCCCTTTTATGATCTTAAGTGCCTTATAAATTGCATTTTTCCAACTCCGGTTTTCGTTACCTACATAATGTAGACTCCAAACCAATATTAATTTTTAAATTGAATTCGATTCAACCTAATTACAATAATCACGGGGCGGTATACCACTTGTACTGATGATTATTTTAAAAATGTAGAGCAATTTCTATGCACTCGTACCACGGCTTTTTTTACCGACCAGTTTATTTTTATAAACCCTCAGATTGGCGCCAGTCAATGAAATCAGACAACAGACCTGAAAATGGTATTTTTGACTTTTTAATGACGTTTAGCTTGCGTTTTTCAAATCTTACACGTCGAATATGCTCATAGCAAGAGAGAATAAGCTCACAGATAAAGGAGAGCTTCCATTTTTAAGGGGGAAAGTGGTCTTCTAAGCTAAAAAAATAAAATGGTCAGGGAAAATTGCTGATGGGCCTAGCATAGGAGTTGCTGTGAGTTACGGGCTCCTCGGAAGAATGCTTGGGTCAGAAACTAGAGGTTATTGATCAGATGAATAAGTAGAAAGAGGTAATTTGATGCACTTAAGCGAGAAAAAGGCGAAATGAAAGAGCAAAAAAGGCCCTTTTGTGCCAAATGACACCACATACTGATTTTTATCTCCCTTTTCATGCAAGATGGCGGGATTTCCCGCCAAAGGAGCTTCTGCCTACCAGCTGGCGGCCTTACTACGTTTTCCAGCCGTTCAGACGTACGTAGTAGAAAGTGGCGCGAAATGGAGCTGAGCCCCGCGTATTTTTTACCTGCTCCATTTTCTGCGAAGCCACCACCACCTGAACGTCTTTCGCATCTGTTTGTTTTCTTTGTGGTTTCATTCCTCTGGCGCAGCTCAGAAGACAAGAGAAAGTCTCCTGTCATTGGTTACTCCCAAGATAGAAATTTTTTTAAAAAGTGAAAAAAATCCATCCTGGGAGTCACCAATATCGACAATGATGATGCGAAATAGTTGCGTCACGCATTTCATCGATAGGCTCCTGACGTCATGTCACTTGCGCACGCTCGCCTACCTGACTGATTTTCTTTTTCTTGCTCGACTTGTACAGGTTATGGCTCAAATCAAATAATTCTAAGCGTACCCATCCCCCACCCTCCAAGGATTTTTCGGGCATTTTTTTTCGGGAAGCTGTGAATGCTCGACGGTGAGACCAGTAAATTCATGCAAAAAGCCCACAGTGGCCTTAAAAATGGCCCCACCCTGGGTCAACAACAACAACAACATAAGCTTTATTTGCATGACTATAATTATGTAGTTACAGTATTTCAAAAGCTTTAACATAAAAAAAAAACAAACAAACAAACAAATCATAACAATGATAATGCAATGATGACTGTAGTCAATCAAGTGTCATCAGCATGACTTGATAACAAATTATTACGTAAATCATTACATAATGAGACAAATTTCAACAAATGTGAATTTACGGAAAAATTCTGTGAATTCATCAATTTAATTATTAATTCTGTGTAAGATAGCTGATCAAAATCGACAAAATTTTGTTGGATTTGATCGTAGAATTTCTCCCTTGGGATTGAGTATTTTGGACAATGGAAGAGAAAATGAAATTCGTCTTCAATTATACCAGAGTTACAAATAGGACAGAGTCTATCGTTGCGGGAAGTTTGATTATATCTTCCAGTTTCAATCATGAGTTTGTGGTTACTTATACGAATTTTCACTAAATCTTTCCTATTCGCAGAATTTCTAATTAAGTCTAGATAACTTGAAATTTTATAATCATGTTTAAATAAGCTGTAAAATTGTAGTTTCTTAGAATGATGGATTGTATGTTGCCAATATGCAATATATTTTTGTTTTATTATATCTATATAGTGTTTGATCTTAGCTTCACTTAAATTATTAGGATCAAAATCAGGGAGGTCATAATATTCAGATATTTTCATAAGATTATTGTAAAAGCTATTTTTACCATTACAGTGAAGTTCTAGCGAAGTACGAAAGGCAAAAAACATGTTCCCTTGCAGGCCCCGGTTGTTCAAACGTTGGATAGCGCTATCCACCGGATAAATCACTATCCAGCGGAGAGCGTAATTGATTTCCCTCATACTTATCCGCTGGATAGTGATTTATCCGTTGGATAGCGCTATCCAACGTTTGAACAACCGGGGCCAGGAGGTTAAAAATCGCAAATAGAGCGTAAATGTAAGTGGACGAATCATTGACTATTATCTTCACTAGTGAAACTGAAGAACAACAAATCAACTACTTCGTAACATACTGTTACCATAATTTCATGTCCTATTAAATTCATTGGGACTGGCGATCAGGAGACCGTTTCTCGCAGTTTTCTCGCAGGCTCTCGTTTGTGAGCTACGCAGGGCAGCCGCTGACCGAGTACATTGCTTTCCTGGAATGCGTAAACGTGGATTGTTCACATTCAAAACATCATTCATCAGCGACGCCTAATTCCGGAACATACTTTTTCGCGGTGAATGATAAATATGGGTCAGCTGAATGATCCCTTCCCGAGAACAGAGTAGCGAAGATACGTAATGAAATCCCATCGACTTTCACAATGAATGGAAATAAGTTTTCACCTACGTAAAAGTAGAGAAGAAGCAGAAAAGGGATTGACTTTTACACAGCAAGAAACCTTGAGCACAGTTAAAACCTCAAAAGGTGATCAGTTTAGTTTTGACCTTTCTGTATCATTGGCCGGATAATACAAATCTTCTACGCAATATGGCATCGCGTCGAAATCTGTTTTTCTTTTTACTATGACTGACCAGGTAAGTTTACTATCTTTGCTGTTTGTTTTCATCAGAGTTTGCTTACGCATAAGAATTTTCTGGTTTGGCCTGCTATGACAGTCTGGTTAACATCGCTCTTAACAACACAATTAGCGATCAAAACGGAGACGCGTCGGACAAAGATTCTCTTATCGCACCGTCGCGAAGTTCACGAGTAAGAAAAGGTGATGACTTGATTATTATCATTCAGCCTTTAATTTTGTTCTAAGTAGACTGCAAACGAATTTGTCTTTATTTTAAAAGTCTTGAGCGACGTGAGATTTCCATTATTTGCGATGGCAATTCCTCTACTGCAGTATCCGGCATTCAACCGTAACAGAAGCAGTAATGCAGCCAACTTGCAGTCAAACTTTAACCCGAACTTCATCCTAAACAACTAGGACCCCTATTCGTTTTGTGTTAACCTGATCACTGAAAGTGCCTTAACCGCACTTACCATTTCTCCATCGCTGTGAATTGTTTAAAAACACTATAGTACTTCCCAGCTAGCATTTAAATTTTAAATTGCCCTTTAAAGATCTCTCTAGGCATTCTGTATATGTACGGCGTCATATATAGGACTGAACGTTTATCGAAAAAGGTGGCTTTAATTTTTCCTCTCGCATTTCTGTTCTTCTGTAATGTGGATTTCTTATCCTTGTTGTCCTTTGTTTCTGAAGACGGCATAAAATTTACAATCCTGTAAATGAATGTATTTAGGTAAATAACATTCCTCCGACGGGTGTAAGCTATCTCATTTTACTTAACTGCCTATACTTAAAATTCTTGTTCGTTGCGTGGGTAGCGTGTTTGTTAGAGATAAGGTTAATTGATCCCCGATGCTGGTATAAACAATTATAAAAAAGTATATTTTTTTGCCTAAAGAAGGAAGGTATTGATCTTCTAACCCGATTGCCTCCATCTGAGCCTGCGAATTACAGCCGTTCTCTCGCACCTCGCCGCTAGAAACGTTTCGCGGGAACTGGTCCTTAGCCGCGAAGACCGAGGAGAGGGCTGTATTCGGAGGCCGGCTTAACTTCGTTCTACTCAGCTTTGACACTGCAATTACGCGGTCTATGCAAGCTTGCGTGACATTAAGAGATCTTTCAAGCTATGTTTTCTTTCTCACTTTTTCCTCCGTCGAAATAAAAAGCAGCAACAACAACAACAACAACAACAACAACAATTTATTAAGGTATTTCCATATCTATACATGGCATTACCTATCTAATATTTATGAACAACAACAACAAACACCAAATGGGCAAAAATTTTGACTTAAGTCAAATCCGCCTGCATTTCAAATCGCACCGACCAAAAATTCAAACTGCAGTATATTCATGGGACCTCCCTAGCCGACAATTATTATCAGCTTCCTCTTTATTTCGATTTTCTTGCAGGGTACAGGATGAATTATAGAAAAATACTAAGAATTATGCTTGTATTGAGGTCCTGCTAGGGTGGTTACGTATGTGCCTAGTCTGAATTTGTCTGTTGAATTTGTTAATTTGAATTTGTCCAAATTTGTTTGTCCTAGTATGTTTTGCACGAACTAATTAGTTGAAATAGCGTTTGCAATACCGTAATTCCTTTATGGTCATGCAAATAAAGCATTTGGTGGTGTTGTTGTTGTTGAATTTCAAAACCTGTTGTTTCGCGCCGATTGCTGTCGGTATTTCACCATTGTATTTGCGCTTTTCTCTGTATCTGTCGCAGTTTCAGTCCGGTTTTGAGTCGTTTCTCCACGTTTCTGCTGTCTTATGTCGCAAGCTACGTGTATTGCGTGATCTGTCTACTTATTCGTTCGGAACAAGTAAGATGATATTAACCTCGGGTGACTCTGTCTTTGTTTCTATGGCCACAATCTAGATAGCGTCCCTTTAATAGCGTGGCTGTGTTGCATCTTGCGTCGGATTGAAAACATGTGAATTTTGCTGCGCTTTACACATATTTTCAAGGAGAAAAATGTTAATTCCAGGATGAATGAAGGTAATTCCCGCCTATATTTCTCCATTTCTTTCCTAAATAACCACACATCTTGTTTGTTATTGTACATACAAACCGGGTAGCACAATCAAGAAATTTTGCTAGGGTATTACTGACATATTTTCGCTTTCTTCGTGCCACTCAAAAGGTCGGTATTTAATGTGCTCTCTCAGCTCTGGAGCATTCCCTGACATATACATCCAGACCGACTTTAGACAGAGAAATAATTTATGAAAACAGGTATCCATGTTGTTTGGCACATTATCGAGTCCTTCGCGCGTTTTTACACCTGGTAATCTGAGCGGACAAAGTATCTTCTGTAATCGACGCTTTTATACTCCTGCATGAGCGGCTCTTATTTCATAATAAAAGCCAGCGAAAAAAGAAAAGAAACCCAGAGGTAGGGTCTGGTCTTGAAATTCATATCTCTTTAGTGCTAAATGTACTCAAATTGTTGCTTAATCAATAAATATTCCAAAGGGAAAAACAAGTCAAGGTGAGACTGATTACAAGGACATGAAATGGATTGAGGTTCATCGACAAATTGTCACTAAAGTCGCGTGACATTTTTAGCCGTCATTCTGCCTCGCATTAAAGTTCAGGTCATCGATTTTGGAATTTTTTAGCGGTTTTCCTTCATATTTCAGGATAATAAAGCATTTTTCTGCTAAAATTATTTATTAGTCTGGGTCAGTGTTTCCTTTTCGTCGTGTATGCGACTGGAAGCGACCGAAATCAAATAAACACAGGAAATCAACAAATCTTCGAATAGAAGTTACTTTACGGAAAGAAAAAAATGTGATAAAAACAAATGTTTCTTGTTTCCATTGGTGTTTTTAAGAGAAAATAGACACAAATATGTCTTTCTTTTCATCGTTGATTTAAGTAAGCTCTGACGTCAGCATTGAAGGCGCCACAGTTCCATTCGCGTACTGTACCCCAGGGATATTTGTCATGCGTGAAGTGTCACCCCATTAAAAGAAACCAAGACAGTCTTGGATTCTGACGTTGTGGATTCCGGATTCCAGGTAGTTGATCCGGGTTCTTTGTCGGGGGAACTTGAATTCCGGGTTCCTTGCACTGTATTCCGCAATTCAAAAGCATTCCGGATTTCTGATTCCACAAGCAAAATTTCCCGGATTTCGAAATCCGGATCCTCTTTTATGAGGCGAGAAGTGACATCAGTGGCAGAAGTAGACCACTCCACTGGGCCCTTCTGCTCGACTGCTCTGTTTACTGGCGTTTATAACTTCCTTTCAGCAGAATTATCACAATAATCGGCTCGTGGTAACGCCAAACAAAATGGTCGGCCTTTTCTTGCCGTGATTAGGCTCTGAACGACCCGCTGCCATTTTTGTCTGGTTTGTCCCTGGTACTAGGATCTTCCTACCTGCCACTCGCTAGGAAGATCCTAGCGCTAGGAACAAGTACAACCTTCTGCATGTAAACTGAACACAGAAAACATATGGCACTAAGATGACCCGCCTTCTAGGATCTTCATTCCTCCGTGCAAACAGCTCTTAAGTGCGTAACGGCTATTAAATAATGTTATTTCTTTGTTGATACATTTATAGAAAATGGAGAAGCTAGAGATTGTCATCGCGGTCCTGCTACTGTGCCTGGTGGCGCTAGGCGTGTACGTGACTACCTACTGGACACTGTCACGAAAGAGGAGGCGGGACGCAGAGGATGACCCCAGGAAGACGGAGGTGCAGTACAGATACCTGGAGGAAAAAGCAGAAAATGAGCGCAAGAAAGTCGCCACCGCTTATGCTCAAGAAACTATGCCTAGAATAACTATCACTCCGGTACAACCACGCCCTAACTTCCCAAGGGTACGTCCTATTTTACTTTTTAATAGAGACCTTTACATTCGAGAACAAGAACAATTACTAGTACAAGATTTGAGCAGAAGTTTTTTCCGCTTATTCTAAAAAAAACACCCCGGAAAGCTTCTTGTTATTTTTTTCACCAGAAAAGTTTGCGAGGTTATTTTTATGGAAGGAGGTTAACCTCTCTGATCTCAAAATGCTAAAACTTTTAACATTTGATAACCTGTTTCCACCACAACGATATTTTCGCTAAAAGTTACCCTAAATGTGAAGTACAATGACTGACGCTTGTACCTTTTCCCCCCAAAATCGGACGCTGGTTCACGCTTACAATACTTAGTACTGAGAAAATCTCGTAATCGTAGTCGTCCTCGTCTTAGAATCTTGAGGTCTTAAATGTTTCGCCTCTAAGGTCGTTTCAACCAATTCACTTACGTCCTCGTTAATTTTAACTCTACATTCTTCTATTCACCTCCCTGAATATTCCTATTGAACGTTTTTGCGGCTACCGACCACTTGATATATGTTCAAGTCCCTGGTGCAGTTGTAAGAAGGTACAATAATCAATCACAGTCCATCACTAAAAAAGCGATTTTTTTTGTTTGGCAGTGGATTCTTACCTCGGGCTTCTCTCACTCTTTATCCTTTGTCCTGTTGACACTTTACAGAAGCACCGTCTTTGACCTCGGTGTCGTCTAATTCTTCAACTTTCACTCCGGCTTATCACCACTTGCGTTAAGAATTTCATCTTCTCACCCTCCACTCTATTTGCTTACCTTAGAATACCCTTTCGACTGGTTAATTGTAATTTATTGCGTTTCAGAGTCTTCTGTCTTCAGATGAAATGCTCTCGACTGACGAGGAATATGATGGAGAAGAGTCATCCGATGATCATCCTGATTTGGGGAGACTTTACTTCGCCCTTAGATATGATCAACATCGGTGAGATATTCACTGTCGCTAGCATGACCTGTAAACGTTTTCTAGTGAGGCGCGATTACTAAAATTCGGTCGAGTGATGCCGGGGATAAATCAGGCCCCAGTTGTTCAAACGTTGGATAGCGCTATCCACCGGATAAATCACTATCCAGCGGATAAGTGTTAGGGAAACCAATTACGCTATCCACTGGATAGTGATTTATCCGGTGGATAGCGTTATCCAACGTTTGAACAACTGGGGCCAGAACAAGGAGACACGGAGGGGCGTATTCCTAACCCTCCTCACCTCTCCTCCCCGTCTTTCCGCTTTTCCAATCTTGGCCTGAAAATATCGTTGTTTTTTATCGTTTCCGCCTGCGAGAAATGTTTCCTTAGAGGCATGTGCTGTAAAATTTCGCCGGCGACTCTAGAATCGTTTCCGTCCGCGTGTTCTATTCTCCGCAATCATTCTCTGCCTTAACAAGCAAAGATGGCGAATACATACAGGGAATCCTACGTAGGAGCTGGCGCTTGAAAAATACAACTGACTGCATTGTAGGATAAAGAATTGTTCCTTATTTTCACATACAATGAAAGTCTCAGGCTGTTCATAAGAAACCATCATAAGGTGACATTAGAAACTGATCGTAGAATTTAATCTACAAAGTTGCGTTATTCAAACTTTATTTTTTCAAACACATTGTGCCTCAAAGAATTTAAAACATAGGGAAAATAATTGGCAATAGGTGCACATTTATATCCTAGTATCATACCACACTCAATGAAAATACAGTATCCTTATAAATCGTAACATTTTTACAGTTTGTTTCTTTGTTCATAGAAGAGGGTTACCTAATTTTATGGAGAGCTATACCTCAGTTTTATTCGCTTAAAAAGGAGATATATTTATTTTCAACTCGTTTACTTTTCCTTTGTAGATCTATTTTGACTGTGCGTCTGATCAGAGCTGAAGACATACCTGTGGAAGGCGAATCCATCTCTACATATGTTGATGTTCATCTGCTGCCACTGAACCTTCAGAGTCACACCTTTCAACCTTACGATACAACTATCAATGTCAGCTTCAGGTACTTTATGCATAGACTACTGCGAAGATTCTCTCTCTTTTTCTTCTTCTTCAGAGATAGTGGGTTAGCACGCCTAACACTTGAAAACCACAGGCCAGGGTGATATTCCCTGCTAGGTTTCGATTTTTTTGATGTTAGTTTTAAACAAAACAACAATAATCAGCTTGTTAGTTTAGATCTCTTAACGTTTATTTTAATGTGTATTATTTTCAAAATACTAGAAATACAATTATAGTAAACCCTTATACAGAAACCTTGGAAGCAACTGACCGTTTTGATTTTCTCTGTTTCTAGGGAAGTTTACGAGTTTCCGCTGTCCCAGTCAGAGATGGCACTGCAGACACTCAATCTTCACATCTGCCGCTATGACAGCTATTCACGCCGAACTTCCATCGGTGACGTGTTTCTTGCTCTTGCTGAACTAAGCGCGCAAGGCATTGATTTTACTAGGGAAGTGTTTCTTTGTCGGAACATTATCAGTCATCAAGAGGTAGGATGGAAGTTTATGATATTTTTGCGGCATTATGGAAAGATGGAAATTTCTCTCGTATGATTGAGAGCTCTCCACTCTTTGTTTTCTTTTCCTTTGTCGTGCAAACGGCAAAACGACCTGAGAATATCCCATAGAAGAAAACTCAGAGCTATTGTTAATCATCTTTGTTATGTATATGCTAAGCTAAGGTTTACGGTTTAGTGTTAGCGGAGCTCCACGCGCGCGCAAGCGTAGCCCCCAACCTAAGAAAATGTGGTAATCTACCCATCCGACAAAATTTTGGTAATCATATGACCGTCCGTCCGCTGTCCGCTGTCCGTCCGCACCACGGGCATACAAATGTAAAATAACTCAATTAACAGGTATGGCACTGCCCAAATGCAACTCGATGTTATTTTGGTGGGGAATCGCATAACCACCCGCGTCTTGTGAAGCAAAGACAAGTAAAGAGTCAATAAAGACGAAAACGGAAAGCGGAAATTGTTTCTGTATCCGTGTTGTCTAAAGTATTAAGTTTAGATTAATTCTCACGTCCACAAATTTGGAAAATAAAGAAAGAGAAAGACAGAGAAAAAGAGAAGCTCGACTGGAAAAAGAGCGACGGAGATGAAGAGCGAGAGATAAGGAGCCATTTTTCTGTTGGAAGAACAACATGAATTTGTAGCGGCGGTGAGAAAATGAGAAATGCTAGCGGCCACCTAGGAAAAAATGAGCGGCAGTGAAAACAGTGAACAACAACATGTACGACATTTCCTTCATAAAGCGTGTAACGAGGACGTTTCTGGAATTTCACGTTGTAGTCGTGCAACTAAAGCCTGGTTTTCATATGTCGGGAAAATCCCAGACGATCGGGGATTTTACTGTTTCCTGACTGTCCCAGAGTTTGCCGACTTATGAAAACTCGAAATCGTAGATATCCCCGATCGTCTGGGATGGTCACCTTTGTGAGTGTCGTATCGTTCAATGACGTCACGATTCCCGCCTTTTGCTTTTGTTGAATTGGTTTCTCCATATAATAAAAAGAACATTACACGTTGGCTCGAAGATATGAATTTAATGTTCTCGTGGCAAGAACAATATCTCACTCGTTCGCTTCGCTCACTCGTGAGATATTGTTCTTGCCACTCGAACATAAAATTCATATCTTCTCGCCACCGTGTAATATCCTCTATATATTGTTGGGCTCCAGTCTCCCAGTCTCATACATTTGTGTTTTTAGCGCACTTTCCAATTTCCGCCAAATTGAATATCGGAAGAATCTGGGACAGACTTCTGGCGATTATCCGATATATCAGCAGGATCTGGGACGGTCGGCAAAAAGTAAAATCCCTGATCGTCTGGGATTTTCCCGACGTATGAAAACCAGGCTTTACGGCAAAGAAATGTACAAAAAAAGTGTGTTGCACGTGCAAAGTTGTTTTTTTTTTACTAAGACCTATTGTTGTTTTCTCAGGGTTCTCGTTGCATTCGCCGCTTGAGGTGATGTTACACGGGACGATTCGAAACGACGATTTTTAGCGCAACACAGTGTTGCATGAGTGTAGGAACAATGTTGTAGCCGCCGCCATTCGAAACAATGTCGCAAAAATGTTGCAACGCTGTGTTGAGCTAAAAATCTTCGTTGCGAATCGTCCCGTGTAACATCACCTCAAGCGGCGAACGCAACGAGAACTGGGAGAAAACAACAATAGGTCTTAGTAAAAAAAACAACTTTGCACGTGCAACACACTTTTTTTGTACATTTCTTTGCCATTTATTTAGTTTGAGCAAACTATAAATATTATCGGGAGCTTCGCTTTTAGCCCTGGCTAAATCTATACATTACCCTAGGTCTAATTTGTTCCTTCTAAAAAACTCGAAAAAGCATTATTAGTAATAATTAGAACAGACAACCAAACTGAATTAAAACCTTTGTACCAGTAAATAATGCAGCTGAGAATTTTCCAAAATTGGCTTTTTGTATTTCTTGCTCATACAGATATATCAAACGTTGGGCAGAAGAAAGCATCTGGAGACTGGTGACGAGGATGGAAAAGACGATAGTGAAATTGAACATATTACAAAACATAGAGAAAGAAAGGTTAGTAAGGCGAGACTCTGTTTCTCATAGCTTTGCCAAGTAGCAATAATGGTTAGTATCAATATCTAAGAAGAAAATGAAATACTCAGTAAGACCCGGACGAGCCAAACTGTACTGTAAGTCAAATCAACATCTCTTAATGATTAGATTTCGGCAGTGCTCGTTGACTTTAGCTTTTCCATTCATTGCTTTTATTGTCAACGTTATAAACTATTGTAATAAATTGAATTGGAGGAAAACTAGAAAATATGTATAAAATAAACTAAAGCTGGTGACATGGGCCCTCGCTAATTGGTCTAGCTACATGGAACAAAAACAAAACCCTGGAAAGCAATGCGGTTTTTCTTACCTTCTCTCCAAATTTCCATTGTAGTGCTCGTTCTTCCGTTTACGTTGCCTTAGAGGTTCAGACTTTCCAGTCTTGTAGCTTTTGACTGTATGCACAGTCTTCATCAGCAATAAATGCTCTGTGTTGTCAGTTGAATTAATCAAAAAAATCGCGGGAAGTTCATAACCTCCATCTCTATTTTTAAGGTTGGACGCTTGTGTCTTATATGGATGGCCTCCTTGATTTTTTTCTTTAATGTCCACTGTCTCTGGTCATGGATCTTGACACCCTCCCATTCTATCTCCTGATTGGCTTTCGATTGACCATAAATACCTTTTTACTCTAATCCTCCTCTTTTGCAGGTGACGGGGAGAAAAGTCAGTTCTCAGAGAATGTGGGATGTGCTTCGCAGAGCCGTTCACTCTGGGTCATACAAGAAAGCATATCTGGCCAGTGACTCAGGATCAGCTTTATATTGGGAATCTATTTTCTCCCCGGGGGCATCCAGTGCCGAAGGGTATAGATATGCGTCAGCCCCCAGTAGTCCTATTAAGTCCCCCGAGTTTTCATTCTCGGGTCCGGGCCCTCCTGATGAATCTGGCGAGTGCACTGACGAGGAACGAGGTGCGACATGGAAAGGAGGACAAAAAGTCGCCTTCGATTTCCCGCCAAGTTTAACAGAAGAGTCTGATTTTGAATCGTCCATATATGAAGAGGAGAATGAGTCAAGACGCAGAGAATCTACCCAGTCTCCACCGATTGAATCCGTTCAGTTGTCCCCAGCTCCCGAGGAGTACTATAGAATAGTGCCTATTACACCCTTTACTCCTTACAAAAAGAAGCGAGAAGTTACCGAGGCTTCATTTTCCTGGAAATTACCGCATACATTCACGTCACGTGAACGTGACGTAGTAGAAACTCTTTCCCAGGCCTATAAGCAGCCTCGGGTTGTATCTATTGCTAGACCTCGATATGAGCCTGGGAGCGAAGAAGAACCTCCGCCAGCAAAACAACGTTTGTTCGATCGAACGGTAAGTAAAAAGGGAAAGGACACAAAGGAGCAAAGACTATCACGGACAAAGGCTTCTAAACAGAGAAAAACGGAACGGAAAGGTAGGAAAGGTGTGTTTAAAAAGTCAACAAAATTATCTCCCAGAATGGAACCTGATGGTGAGCCCGCGGAAAAATTGATCAGCCCAACGAGAGGAAAAGGCAAGCGTTCTGCTCTAAAATTTCGGGGAAAATCGTCGCCAAAAGCTCCAAAACTAGCTTCTCGGCGAAACGATTCGGGACCTGTCGAGGGTTTGTCGACCGAGCCAGTTGCTTCGGAATTACCCGAAGAAGAATTGATCGTGGAGCCTTCTTCGAGACTACCGACGGATGTTCGTACGAGATTGAATTTCCCGTCTGTCTCAACTTCAGAGTACCTGACTCCACCAATGTCTTCTTTACAAGACTTTTATTCAATAAACCGATCGCAGTCGGATCCAAGTGTGGACGTCGAACACTTCCGAAACTTGGGGGAATTATCTTCGGAATTTCGACGTACTCGCTCGATGTCAGCATTAGAGGACGAAGAAATAACAGACGAAGATGACCAATAAAAGACGAGAGTCTTTTCTCACAGAAAAATGCAAATCAATTCAAACATAAAGTATTTCATTCGAAAGAGTTTCATAGTTTACAAGGCTATCCAACATGTCAGTAAAAACAAATGTTTAATGTACTTGGTAGAAGTATTATTATGGTGTTAAAGAAAATGACTAAATGTAGTTATCGAAATTTGAGTTATAAAATAACATCATCTAAACTGTAAAGGTATAAGAAAACACTATATTTTAAATGAAGAGCCTAAATATATATAGAACAATGGAATCATACGTTTATCAGTCCAATAGAGATCAATGTCTTGAAGATATTCTTTATATTATAGTTGCAAAAAATATATCAATATTTAATATTGTAAGCTGTTTGTGTTGGTATAATGTTATTGACACTTCTCAGTGTCTTCCGTCTGAATGAATTCTACGATTTAAAAGCCCATCTTGATCAAAGTGTTCTATTCTTCAGTGACGAACGTCGCTTGTTGTTGCTTAATAGCCTAAGACGCTGGAAAAACTGGACCTTTTACAGAGATAATAATTGTCTATAATTTGTAAATTTATAGACTTTTTATAAAGGTGCCAATCTTCCCCTCTTTCTAGAAAAAAGAGCCGACATTCCGGGACGCTACCTCTGGTTTCGAAATGACGTCTGAGAAACGAACTCAGAAATTCCATACTGATGACGCGTCACTACCCAGATCTAGGTAGTGACTTTGATTGGTCGAGCCGCGTGGGAAATGAACTTCAACCAATCAGAAGCACCACCCAGAAACGAGTATTGACAAGTTATCAGTATGGAATTTCTTCGCTCGTTTCTCAAACGTCATTTTCGCGATGCTTTAGCGGTGCAAACCAGTGGTGACATCGCGAAATGTCGGCTGTTTTCTAAAGCTATTTCTCCAACCGACTCGTTTTGAAGACAATCGAAAGCAGTGAGAAATAATCAACAAAGTAAATTATTGAATGAGGCCGAGTATGAATTGAAATATTGCGCAGATCGGGGAATGCCTCGGAAATCTGCATCAAAGGGTTTGGTGTCTCTTTTCGGTCTCCTGGAGCCAATACTGATACCTGAATGAGAGAAAAATGCCTGGAAAGCACAAACGTATGAAGTTTACTGGTATGCAAGCTCTCGACTCGCCCAATGTAATAACGGGATCGACTTTGGAATCCGGAATCCGGAGACATTTTTGCTTGTGCAACCCGGATCCTGGGCTTTAGACCGGAATACAGCTCAAGGAATCCGAACTTCCACTATCAATTGGAATCCGGAATCCAAGTTCCATTGACAAAGGATCCAGAATCCAGATCCTAGACTGACTCTAGACTGTCTTGGATCCCCTTAAATAGGGTGATCCCGACACTGTCGTCATGGTGACCGTTTAATGCAGGTGAAAACTGGATAAGAGAATCAGTCTATATCACTTTTTTTTTCGGGAGCTGCGCTTAAAATTAGAACCTGAGATCTCCAACACCATCCCCTGAATTACAGAGACACTGGCAAAGCGATGTCACTTACACTCAGTTATCCTACACTCATCTCTCATATTACTTGACCAAAAGAAGCGGATTCAGGTAATTCTATGTCATTAGAATCACGCAATTTTCCGATCAGTTCTATTTTGTCTACATTGCACAAAAAAGCGTGACCATTTTCTTACAGTTCACGTCACGTCTTTCTATCAGGGAGTCTATGCGTTCGTGATCATGGAAGCTCAAAAACACAGCAAAGTTTTTTGTTTTCTGCTTATTGATCAACTAGAAATCGAAAGCGATGGATTAAAAACAAGCTATGCATAAGGCCAGCATGTGTGAATTGATTTCCTGTCTATGAAATATACAGTAAAGTAAACTAAACTTGAAATCGCGTGACTCAAGGAGCAATCATGTCACGTGGGATTAAAAATCAAGTCACGTGAGAAATGCACAAGCAAGCGCTTACCTTTGCAAGTGCAAAGCAGTTTTGATATCTATACTTCACAAAAATGAGTGAACGTCGAAAGCGAGCATGGGAAGCCTATAAAAAGTACCGACTTGTGGTAAAGATAATTGCAGCTTTTTCGCTTGCAATACTTGGAATTTCTGGTTGCATCGCTTTCGCCAAAGTTTATCACAACTACAATGCAGCAGTCTGGGCTGGTGTTTCAGCTGCGTTTGCAATTGTTTTCATTCGCTTACATTTCATGGTTTATCGGGATCGGCATGAACGTTCTATCTCAAGGTTAAGGTTCACCATAACATTATGGATTGGTGTCGTTGGTTTAATAGCTGCTCTTGCTGGCCTCATAACATACATTGTGCTGGGAGTCAAACATCATGAGAAGGGTAAGGTGGCATAGCGATTTTCGATTTCTAGGCATGCATGACCTCCCACAATAAAGGACTTGACCTCATCTAAGACTGATTAGCTTGTGTGTTGATGAGCCGGCTCCTGGTGCCAGCATCGCTGAACTATTTTCAGCGATTGTAGTGACCATATTGATGTATTGGACGATAAAATGGGTTTACAAGCTTCACCAGATGGCGACGACGTGCAGCTGTATGCGACAAATTGGCAACTTTGCCGAGAAATTTTAACATAGAATCAACATACCAAAGTTGCCTCAATGAAGACGTCCAAAATTTCCATAAAACCCTTTTCTCATTAACATTATTTGTTCTTTGAACAAAATGGGAGCGTTGAGCTACCGTAAAATTCCGAAAATAAGCCCCGTGCCTTATATTTTTCAAAGGCCCTTTTTGAGGGGCTTATTTTTGGAGGGGCTTATATTCGGAGAGGCTTATTTACGGAGGGAGATTTGAGTTTCAAAATCGATTGGACTAACCTTATAGTTGGAAGTAAATTTACCGTTTCTACTCTGTCTTACTTTGTATCTGAGGGCAATTTTCTAAGTACAAGCCCCCGGGGGGCTTATATTTGGAGTGGCTTATACATGGAGGGGCTTATTTTCGAAAATTTACGGTACCTAAAAAGACAAAAACTGACAAATTTCATTAGGGGGCACTAACCATGATGAATTAGTATAGCGTTAAAGATTGAAAAAAAATTCGGGCCCATATTTGCAAGTTGCAATCCATGTCTACAGGAGCCGATTACGGCTCCTGATGTCTATCATTGCCATTCGTAGCGACAGGGCACAACCCGGGAGAGACTTTCACTCATGGCCTAAATTTATTCTTAAATAACAAAACTGGACCATTATTTTTGGATGAATCAGCTCGTAATGCAAAGACACCTCAAAGCTTTTTAAAAAGATAGCAAACAGCGTGACATAACTTCTTCAAATACGGATTTAAGAGGTGCCTTTTTGCTTCTTTTTCGCAGGGATGGATCCGAAAGGATATTTTGTGGTGTGCCTCTGGTGTGCGAAGACTGCAATGTGGGGATTCTCTACATTCATGGCAGCCAGAAAGTTCCGAAAGAAGTATTTTGATTCAGATGAGAATGAACTAATCGTAAATGACTGAATCGAAGATGAAAAACAATATCCAGTCAGAACATACTATAGTCCTTATCACGTACGGTTTAAGTGGAAGCCATCTTGTCTTGAAATCAGAGTGTTTGTATGAGAATCTAAATGTAATGTCGAATAATTATCGTAGAACGGCTGTTCAAAAGAAAGTAGGAATTGTAAACTAAAGCAGCAAAGGATTCTTCTAACCAATTTGTGCGGCCGTACCTGAGCTTAAATTTCTTGTGTCGCTTTCTTTAGATTTTCTATATATTTGTCTGCAATTTTTCCCGGGAAATTTTAGTCGGCAAGAAAAAAAATTTAAAAACAAGCTGGTATAGGAAATTTTAAAAAGTAGTTCTAGCGCAGATAACTCCCTCAAATTTTTTTCAGTAGAATCCTCAGGAGTGAAGCTTTAGTCTACAATTCATTTTTTGTTTAGAACAGCTGTTTTACCGAAATTATTCGAAATTAGATCCTCACACAAAAAAAACTGTGATCTCACTGTGAAACCGAGATAAGGTCCATTGCGGAATCTATTACGAGAACACTAAAATATTGTCAATCCAGCTTTAGAAATCTCTAGACAACTGACACTGGTTGCTCATTATCAAAGACTGTATAAAAAGCCTTAAAACAGCTGAAAAAATGTGAAACATGTGAAGATGTGTAGTTTGGCTGGAATATAGAACAAAGAGTCAAATCAATAAACCTGAAATATAGCAATAATATACGGTTAAACCTCTATTAGGCGTCCAGTAATAGACGTTCTGAAATGATTGTCGGAAAAATGGGAAATTAAACCTCTACTAAGCGGCTGCGGCCACCTAGCTATTGGCCGTGCCGACGAGAGTTCTCCCATCGTTGTCTCCTCTATTAAACGGCCATCAAGCGCTTGATACACTCAGTTTGGCTAATTTTGAAATATGATGAAGGAAAATACAGTCCGAGGTAGAATTCCAAGACCGATTGGGTACCAGTCATGATTCTCCCATCGCGCGTTTGTTTCAGAATAAAGTGATGTTTCTGCTAAAGATTATTCTAATTTATGACACACTTCTATTGAGCGCGCGGCCAAACTCCATTAAAATGCCACTTACCGGTAACCCGAGAGTGCCCGCTTAATGGAGGTTCAACTGCCAGCAAAATCCAGCTGAAACGATCGTCTGTTTGTTTGTGAGAGCGCTTTTCTTTGTGAGTTATTCACGCTAAAACTTAAGCGTGTTGCTACTTTGCAGTAAAGTGTGTATTTAACAAGCGTCGATCATTTGCTTCTGATTTTATGCAAAATTACCATCAACGAAGCAAAAAAACGATCAGCGTGTCCCAAGGGTGATCTGTGGAAAGAGTAAGTTTTTTTCAGCTCGCTTTTATTTTTCTTTTCTTGCTTACCATTCACACAAAACCCCCGGGTGGAAATCTTGTGGTGGGAGAACGCCCCGCTACAAAGTATATCCAAATGAACTAAACAGTAGGAAAGTTGCAAAGCCTATGAATCGTCCTCATAAGTTCTGAAGCCTTTCCAAACGGAATGGCGCGAGCCTTCAGATTCCGTCTGGAATTTCTACTTTCCCATGTCAATGGTTAGGTACCCATGAACATGTTCCACGGTAAATTTATGCGATCATATTCACGTACCATTTTCGTGGCCGTTTTTATGCTAGAGACGTTAAAGTCGTCAACACGCATTTAACATCTGAGACGTTACGGTAGACTGGTGTAAAAACGGGACGCATGAAAGTAAAAGACAACATTGAGAAACAACAGCTTTTAAAGAAGACAAAACATTGACTCTTCCCAATCATTTCTGGACGAGTTGAGAATAAATGCGTCCCAGTTTACGTCTCGGAGGGAATGAGGTGTGTAATGTCCTCTCCCGAGGGAAACAAGTTCAGAATTTTTCTTATGGAATGAAAAAAATAATGATAGAATAAAATAAAAAACATGGCACTGAAGAAAAGAGTGAAAAGAAACGGGTTGTAATTCCGAAGTTTATACAGGGCGATCGTCTACATTTTTTTAACTTCCCTGAACGAATTCCTGATCAGTCAATAGAACATAGCATTATATGACCTGTGTAACCTGCACTTAGCTGGTCATGTGCGGTCAATCGTAAGGCATTCGAGCGAAATAAATAACCCGTAGTTAGTAACAATTGAGCGTGGAAGACCTCTTGTCTAAGTTATTCAAACGAAAATCACTCATGGCGTAAAAAAGCGCTCGAATCGTTTTTATGGTTTATCTATCAACCACTTATATCAATGGTTCTTAGAAACTCAACAGAAGACAGAAGCCCATTATAGAAATGGCGTTGAAAGTATGGGAATTTTACGAAAGGTAAGAGCTTCTTTCTTTTATCTCAGTAAATATGTGAGGATCAGCCTGACCGAGTCTGAGTTCAAAACGAAAAGCCACCGTTGTCAAAACAGATTAAATGGCATAAGAAATATTTACACCAAAGGGGAAAAATACTGAACGGAATAACAATGGCATGATTTTTTACCCTAAATTTTGATAACAGAATAACAGAGACTGACATTTTAATATGACAGCGGATACGAGTCGACAGCTTGATAGACGACCACAGTCTTTGCTTCAGTTGTACGTGCATTCATTCCCAAGATCATTGTTTAAAAAATCAAAACTAATGTGTTGAAAACAAGGAACTGTAAATCCGATTTGCGATAACTGCTCCATCTTCACAGCACATTTACTGCATTCTGAAGCTAGCGAAAGGTAAAGGGGTATATGGCGTGTGAAAATACATGAAGAGCGCCTTCTTCTGCGCGCTTAACTTTATCCTTTCCTCTCATCTTTCAAAATCTTGCCACGTATAGAATAGGCGATCTGTCATTCGCTCGTTTTGACAGATTACGTTTCAACTTCACCCTGAGCTTACCTAGTCCCTAAGCTTCATTATTCCTCCGAGCGGCCAATTTCTTTCGGGTCACGTGGTCCGGGTGAGGAAGATTCCCGCCCGTTACGTCATACGAAGTGAATTGACAGAGAGGGACTGGGAAAACGCCGTACAGTGACTAGGCAAACCATGAGACTCGTATTCATTCGCGATCAGTTGCTTTTTATCCTATTCTCAAGCCTTGAGTGCCTAAACACTCTCACATTTTCAAAAAACCCATTTCTAATCTGTTTTAATTTTCTTCAAGTTTGTCCCTTGATTAGTGCTCCCTTTATACCTCCTTCTAACTTTTTGAACTGGGTTATTTTATTGCCCTCAATTTGGTGGCATAGTAGTTCGTGACACAGCTCCTAGCATCTTAGTCTGTACAAAGCATAATCATGATTATTTTGCTGAATCATTTTATAATCCCCCTCTTCATATCTTCTGTCCAGTGTAGACCGTCGTTATGTAGGAAAGGCAGATCTTCTCTTCTGTTGTTGATCGTGTTGGCATTTTTCGTCCTTCACTGGATAATACCAGACAGCTTGATTTTCAAGCCACTCAGTCTTTTATTGGCTAAAAACGACGATGAAATGTCTACAAGAAGTGTTCAAGGTAAGAGATTTTCATTAGGTTTCATTTTAATCGTTCAGTCTTTTGTCAGAGAAACAGCATAGTTCCTAATTATGGAACGGTAGAACGGGCAGAAAAAACGTGTAATCTGTTTAAATTTGCAACATTGCTACAAAACGAGTTTAATAGTGATCGGTTGCGGGTTTTATACCCACGAAACAAACTTGCCTTGAAAAAAAATCAGGCTGTTACAGGTTGCGAAAAGTTATTATAGAAAGTAAAGAATAGTTCTTTTTTCAACATGACTGGCTAACTCGTCCACTGACTGACTTACACCTCGGAATACAAAAAAAGAAACTTGAAATTCCAGCTAAGGGACGGACCATTAGAAAAGTTATGGGGGAGTGGAGAATTTTTGAGCCTTTTTTTTCCTTGTATGAATTTTTTTTAGGCCGTAGCATGAATATTTTTTTAGGGTTAATTGGAGTGCATGAATTTTTTTCATTTAAATTTCCCTTGCGCGAATATTTTTTTTTGTACTTCGCCCGCCCCCCCCCCCCCCCATAACTTTTCTAATGGTCCGTCCCTAATACAGGGGAAACCAAGCACCGCCATCAGGGGCTTAACTCGGGTTATTTTCCTGTCAGGTGTATCAAAAAAGAGCGCAACCAATGATATTGTCAAACAACAAGCGACCAGCAAAGATATCAAGAAGAGAGGGGCGCAGTTGCATCTGATCATTCAGTTTCCGATTCTAAACACTTCCGGTATCTCTGATCCTGCCAAGCTGGCTTCAAGGCAGAAGGAGTACATATACTGCCTCCAACGAAATCTGCTAAGTCCTGACGTAAGTTCACCTAATTGGCCATTTCCGAGTTCTCACAAGCCTCTGTTTCAAAATGAGGCTAAGTGTTTATTCTCATGCAAATAAAACTCATTATCACAAGGAAGGTTTTGCACTCAGCTTCGTTTTGAAAGAGAGAGTTTTCGTATCTCGCAAACGGCTTATTGTAATCTAATTAGCCTTATTGATCTTGCCGTGGAGTTAACAGAAATGTGAACTGCGAAAAATGTTATCCATATAAAGGCCTCTTCACATGAGCTCGGTTGACCGGGCTGGACGGGTTTCCGAGATCTCGCCTTACCTCTAAATCCTTTGTAAAATTTTCAACGGGTTCACATGAGATGGCGGGCTGGCTCGGTTCCCGAGATCTCGGTTTTTCCAACTGGGATCTCGGTAAGCGGGGTGGAAAATTTGCTACATGAACACTTCAGCCCGGTTACCGGGATGAAAGTGGGATGAACTCTTCGAATGAATTCTGCATCGTCTTGCTTTGCCTGTTGTATTTTCCACATCAAAAGCATCTCATCTGAAAACAGTTATACAGCTATAAGGGTTGCCAAAGCTATAATAGGCACGAAAGTCATAACTTTGTGTTTCGCCATGTTTGCTTTGTTTCTCGAATTTCGCGCCACAGCTCGTCTTCGGCCTTCTCATCTCGGAAACCGGGCTGTAATTTCTCATATTAACCCAAGGGGAAATTGGTCCGGACAACCGGGCTCATGGGAAAAGGCCCTTAAACCAATTAAAACCAGCGAGTTTTTTCAAGACTTCAGCCAGCCTCTGCCACCCCCTTTCCTCTCGACAGTGCACCAGTTTTGTTTGAAACTAACACCTTTATTTGTTTTTATTTTAATGTTGCACCCTAACCACTTTAAGAAAGAAAAATTTTCACCAACTTTTTTGCGCATAGAATTCACTCGAAGTATGTAGTGTCCTGTTCGCCACTTTAGGAACGAGAAGGAGGACTGAAGATGAAACGTCTCCTGCGATTGAAAGTGGAAGCGTTACTGGGTACGCGCCGGTCTGCTATTGGCCAACTTTTCTCCATGTCCCAGAAGTCTTTGTGAAAGTTAACTCGAACCAGTTTCCCGCTCGTTTCTGAAGTGGCGAATGCAGTGTTTTTACATGACGTCACGGCGGCCATGTTGATGTTCAAAACCAGTCTTGTGAGACTCTTTTCTTATGTAAACGCTTGCTTTTGTTCCAATAAGCTTGCATAGGTGCTGGCCACGTGAGGCGAAAACGCTCTATTAAACCTTTTGGTTTCATTTCCAGGTGCAAGGAATTCACATTCTTTGTGAAAGCCAGCAAGATACTTTTTTCATTCAAGCTCTGAATTTAACTGGAAACTGGAAACTTGTCTTTTATTTGCTTGGACGGCGCATGCGTTACAAAGATGCTTTTGAATACGCCTCAAATTATTTATTGCGCAAGAACTCAATGATTATAAACGCAGATTGCTACGTTGATAAAGGATTCGAGTATCTGGATGAGAACGTTCTTAACAAGAGAACAATGTATGCATTAACAAGACATGAAACTCCGGAACACATTCGCCATTGCAATGGGAGGAATTTTTGTGGACCGAGGTCAAAATACATTGGTTCCCATGACGCATTTTTGTTTAGGCTCCTCGCCCCAGTTTCCACGCAGTTGCTGGAAAATATTGACTATCGTGCCAACATTGTGGGAATTGAAAAAGTACTGATATTTAATCTAAGAAAATACGGAAATTTTAAAATGAAGAATCCATGTAGAATTCTACAAATTGTACATCACCACTGCAGTAGAAAGAGGAACAAAAGTGAACGATACATTCAGGGACAAAGAATCGACCACTACCTTAATATTACAGAAGAGAAAAAAGGAAAACTCATCATGGTGCCATTTTCTGGCTTATAAAATATCATTGTTTTCTAGCCTGCACCGGCTTTGTTAAGGTGACGTTACACGGGACGATTGGCAACGACGATTTTTATTGCAACACAGCATTTCAACATTAGCGAACATTGCTCTGATGCTGTTTCGCACGGTTGCAACATTGCTCCAACACTGCAAAGCTGTGTTGAGCTAAAATTGTCGTTGCTAATCATCCCGTGTAACATCAACGTTAGGGTGAAATTTCAAGGAGGCGCGCGCGCGCGCGCACGCGGAGACCAAAGGAGAGGCTTGGAAGGCGCCGGTTAGCGCGTGAGTGGAACACGCGAAGGGAAGGAGAGAGGAGGCGCCTACAGCGAAGGCCCACGTTTTCCGTTTTTCTTCCTTCTCTGACGGTCCATAGAATTTCATTGGCTAAGAACGTCTCCTGGGAGTTAGTTAGGTGAGGGCCTTGCATATATTATCTGTGGATATCGAGGAAAATCCTCATTAAAAAAGTATCTGTCTATCTATCTGTCTGTCTGTCCCTCCTCTCGTGCGCGCACGCGTCCTCGAAATTTCTCCCTTCGCCTTAACAAAACCGGCGCCTTCTACGAAGTTTATTGTTTTACAAGATCTACGCTTTTTATTTGTGCATATAGAAACCAACAAAAAGGTCCACTCTTTTGCAAACTAGCAGGGTAGATTTTTCCTTCTGCCTCCACATGAAGAAAAAAACCGTGGAAACTAAAACACATAATTTCAACGAAACGTGAACAATAGATCTAGGGAAATTAAGCATGATAGAAATAATTAAATAAAGCCGGCTTCGTCTAGCAACTCCACATAAGAGATTTATGTCTTGTTAGGAACCTTGGCGATCCAGGGCTTGGCCAACTGAAAAAAAAAACAAACAAACAAACAAATATAACGTCAACTTCACAACAAAGACAACAAGAACAAAACGGCGCTGGTGCTGAGACAGTGGAGAAGGTTGCTGAAGCTTATCGATAAGATGATTGTTTTTTTTTTCATAACTTAAACCAAAAAAAAGGGGTTTTCATATCTGATGAAATGTTAGCCCAAGGCGTGTAGTCACAGGAGCGTCTTTCTGGGATGGAAACAAACAAGAGATCTTACCTTCGTTGCTTTTCCTCCGAATATGATGTTACCAGTCGCTTCCACTGTGCTATACTCGGGTATTTCCTTGAATCGATTTTTACTTGAGTTACAGCTAAGAGTACATCAAGATCTTGTTTACTTGGCTGTAATCTGTAAAGTATGAATGGATCGAGTAAGTAGCTCAGGAGAAAATAAATTTTCTGCACTTTAATTTCTGCTAACTACGCTTGAGGAAATTTTTTTCGGATTCATAAATACAGAAAAAATCCGCGACTAAGAACCTACATTTTTCCAGGTTAGCCTAAACAGGTTCTTACATAAATGGCAATTAGAACAAATTTAGGCTATTTAGTTCTTGAATACCGTAAAATTCCGAAAATAAGCCCGTCCATGTATAAGCCCCTCCAAATATAAGCCCCCCAAACCGGTATTAACTAAAAAAAACCTCCGTTAAATCGTCCCCCCAAATATAAGCCCCCCGGGGGTTTGTACTTGGAAAAATGCCCTCAAATACAAACTAAAACAAAGCAAAAACGGTAAATTTACTTCCAACTATATGGATAGCCCAATTGATTTTGAAACGCAAATTTCCCCCGGTAAACAAGCCCCTCAAAAAGAGCCTTTGAAAATTATAAGCCCCGGGGCTTATTTTCGGAATTTTACGGTAGGTTCTAATTTTCTGAAGAAAAAAATTCAATGTAGCTAAGAGCATTTAGTGGTATTCAGCTTATTCCTTATATACATCTGTATAATTGCGCAGTTGGAGTGATAAGGCACCTATGTCTCCGAAGAGGATCCTGAATGTTGACTTATCTTATTTGCCCAAGTGTACAGAATGTTTTTATAGAATGTTTTCAAAAAATAAGAACCTGTTTCAAATTTTAGGCTCAACATGTTCTTGTACAGCGGGGGCCTAACTGGCAAATTTTTGCCTAACAGGCTCTTACTTACGGGTTTTTTTTATTACTGTATTACCAGATCTCGTTATTACCGATTTAGGGTGCTACTTTCAATACCGGACACTGTTAGTTTACTTAACTTATTTAAACGTTTACTTAAAAAAAAGCTCTACGCGTTAAAACCGAAGCTGCTGTTATTGTTGGCGCCATTTTCCCGCACGATTTTAGCGCGAAGTGTTCACGAAAAAAAGTTCACAATTTTCAGAAAAACGAGAAGATAGAAATTTACACATCTTTGCCTGTTTTTCCACTTACTGATAAATGAAATCCCAGCAATTCAAACAAAAATAACGCCTAACAGAAAGACGTTTGACTGCGATGGAACCTACCCCTGGATGAAAATATTGACATCCTCTCCACCAGGAAAGTCGCTCACGCTCTTAACGGGCTTGGTATGTCTAAACGCTTTGTTTTCAGGCAACTTAAAGCCCTGATCTCCACCATCACAAGTTACTGAACAATCCACCTCGACACATCTCCAAGCAACTGTATCGACATTGTTCTCAAACACTTCGTCCTCATCAGAATTTTGTGCCTTTGTGGATGGCATTGATGACAATAATAATGACGTTGAACTTTCATTTCTGTCGTTTTCCAAGTGGGTAGAACGTTTAAAATTCTCATCCCCTAAACTAGCCTTGACTTCCACATCTGTCGCCATAGGAACTACATCAGATATATTTTTGTTTTTTGCGTCAAACAGCCTACTTTCGTTTTCTGGTGAGTGGTAAGATAACTTCTTCTTGCATAGAAGACTGCTGCCATTATCCACATTATCTTTTGCATCACTTGCTTCTCCTGAACAACTATTCACATCAAGTGTGTTCAGTTTGTTTGGTATTTCAGCTACCGAAGTATTAAATCTGTTTGTTTTAGCTTGTTCTCTTTGTAGAGAAAGCGTATCTAGGTTATCTGCCAGTTCGTCTACAACAGCTTCATTCATTTTAACCTCTGATCTTTGAGGCATGGGTGAACTACAGGTTAACACATTTTCCACAGCATTCTGTCGTGTAGAATCCCACAGTAAGTCTTTATCTACTTCCATAGATGCATGATCTGATTCAATTTGTGAATCTGAAAACCGTATTTTCCTTGAAGTTGCTTTACAGCCTTCGCTGAAGTCCTTAACGCCAGATTTCTCACGGCAGTTACTCACACTTTCATGTTCTCCTGGTCTCAACAAAACATCCTCCCTTAAAACAATACTGCTCTGCCTCGATTCAGGTGTTTTTAGAACAGCACTGTCTGTGCTCTTCACATTTCTCAGTCTTTGGGGTGTTACCGATAGCCTACTTAACAGAATTCTGTCCTTTTTCTTGGTTAAATAATCTTCTAGCTTCTCCAGACCTTGAGGGGTTGACAGGTCGGCATAACATCCAAGAAAATCCCAGTACTCTACCCATGGAATCTTTCCATAATGAGCAAGCTCCCTAACAATGTCAAACAGATTACACATCATCATAATCAAGCGAGATAACTATCACAAGTTTACGGTCATCTCGCCACCAACGAGTTTCCTAGACTACGAGTAGTCCCCCATTTTTCCTCAGAGATAGTAGAGAGAGCGAAACGCGAGCGCGCGTGAAAATCACACCACGCGAGAAGAGGCAACAACGTGATTTTCACGCGCGCTCGCGTTTCTCTACCTCGACTATCACTGAGGAAAAATGGGGGACTACTCGTAGTCAAACGAAATCGCCACCAAGATGTCGACTTGACGCCAACCAACTCGCCACCAAGTAATGACTCTGCATTAATCAACGTGTTTTCTCCACTAGGATTACTCACTTAAAATCTTTACTTCTTCGCCACGCTTATTCAAATTTGATTACAGAGTTATTAGGTGGTGGCGAGCTGGTTGGTTGTGTTTTTCATTTTTCTTCTTCTTTTTTTTTTTCATTACCTTCCAATCCTTTCAACACCCCGGCTGTCATCTTTTCGTTTAATCTGAATGTAGTTCTTACGCTGTTCTGTATTGGGAGGAGTTTTCCATGAATGATAGAATTCTGCAGCCTACAAAAGACATTATTAGTTTTGGTTACTACATAGTAAGATGAATTTCACAGTAAAAAAATTGAGGGAAATACCCTTGAAAGTGGGAAGACAATCCTCTAAAATTTTGCACATTATTTCACACTATTTCAAACCTCCGAGGAAAACAAAAAACAGGTTAAGATAACAGGGATTTGTTGATTACTTTTGGCCTTTTGTTTTGTTTCACAAGGGAAACT